GCCATCTATTTGATGCTGACAGCACTACATATATTTTTTAGGAGGGGAAATGAGGACAGGGGGGGGAAATCTCTGATTCAAAAGGTAGGGAGAATTTACATAGTCAGAATGTAGTTATTTTAGTTAGAATTTGGGCACTGGAGTTAATGCTCCCTCTCTTCTTAAGATGTCATGGGATTGATCAGAGGTAGTGAGGGCCTCAGACTTATTTCTCATCTTAAAAACATCTCCAGCCATATAGCTCTGCCTCTTACCCCTGCATCGTCTTGCCCAGTGTCGTGCTAGGAGTTGAGTACTGGCTTAAAGGAAAGAGCACCCAATACTGAATTGCCAGCACAACTTTCTGCAACAGGAAGGACTGTCATCTATAAAGTGACCACCATACTTTTCAAAAACTGGGGCGCTTGTAGAAGCAGCTACTGAAAAAGGTTGTGGGGAAACTAGGAGAGAATTTTGTTTGACCTAAAGATAAAACTGGGAGACGGGCAGCCTAAACAGCTGGGGCTGGCCCTGGTGAATTTCTGTTCTTATAGCATACTTGAGCCATCCCTTTAAATAAATAAATAAAACTTGGTTGGTTATTGCCTCACTTTGCCACTCACCCTTTCTGTTAAGTAAAAATTTACTTTATCTCCATTCTATGTTCTTTTCCTTTAACTCTAATTTTTCCTTTCTTCTGTTGTCTGATATTTTTCTCTTTTCAGTCTATTTTCTCCCCTTGATGTCCTTTTCTTGTCTGTCATCTTCTATGTTGTGCGCTCGTCTTCCTTCCCCCCAAGTTTCTAGTCTCTTACCTCACCCTCTTTTATTCCTTTCTTATCTTGTATTCTCAGTTCCCGATTTCTCTATTACTATCCCCAGTTTCATCTTGGGTCTCCCCCCGGCCCCACCAAAAACTTTCATCCACTTCTTCCCCAGTCACAAACCACACATGCTTTTCTATTGCATGCTCCTTCATTCTTTCTCTCTACAGTGTTCTTTTCATAATCAAGCAAGTACACAAACACAGGCAGAATCCACCTACGCATGCAGGCTCTTCACAACTTCAGTACAAGTGGGACTTGTTATACAAGCTTCCCCAACCAAAAAAAAAAAAAATAAAAAAAGCCACATGCATACCTACCGCAAATCTCCCCTCCCAAACTCAGGCAGCCTTTTGTCCTCCCAGATGCTTTCTGCCTCTTTCAACCCGTTCTGGTGGAGGCTAGGAGTGATCCAAAGCTGTAATGCATTCAGCCCCCTGAGGGAGGGGTATGTTATGTTGTGTTCAGCAGCAGTCTTCCACAACCAATTACGGATAAATATTTGTTTCTAATCTGGTAGTGTCAAGGAGCATCAATAAGGGCCAGGTCCTTGTTATCCCTGGTGCTGTCCAAATACAAAGGAGGACAGTCCCTGTCCCAGAGAGGTTTATGCTCTAAGAAAAAAATGTGGATTGAGGTTCATGAGGCTCAGTGTGAGATTGACAAACATTTGTCTGAGAAATCCTTTAATCTCTTCACTCTGCCTCAGTACCCCTTAATTTTTTTTTAATCAGTAAAATGTATAAATCCTATTAATCTTTCTTCAGGAGGTGAGCAGCCATTAATGAAAAACCTCTTATTTGTTATTTCCTTTCTATTCTATGTGAATATTGGGCTGAGCTGTAAACAGTTCAGTTATAAGATTTTAATTATTTTTCCTAAATATCTTTTTGTCACAGAAACACAAATTCAAGCTCTAATAAAAGATAAAACAGTTGCTTAAAGCTATCTAGTCCTGTCTTGCCTTTTAAAATACTCTAAACATAGAATTTTTTTAAAATGTTGAACATCAGGAGCTGTGCAATTAGATACTTTGCTTACTGTATTTTTAACATATATAATAAAAGATGTTCAAGTAGTCAGTTACAGTAAGTGGGTAACTTAGTTTATAGGGCTGTAATTCCACTGACAGTTTTCCAGAACCTAATCCTGGAGACTGAAGCATGAGTGGCTAATATATTGACTAGAGCCCCAGAAGAAAATTAAGATAATTCAGATAATTTGTCTTGTCTTTCTCCAACAGCTTCCCCTTCTGCAGCTTGAATATAATTACTTTACTCATAATTCATAGGTGACATATGTCTGAATTACAAGGTTTTTGTATGTGGGTTGCAGATTTCGGTGCTGCATAATATAATGACACTCTAAACTCTGATATTGAAAGTCATTGTTCATAAAGCTCTTCAGTAATTTTTATTAGTGTGCATATAAAAGTAAATTTTTAGGTAGTGTTTTAAGGCAGTATTAATATTTTATTTTTGAAGGTTTAATAGTATAGAACCATAAGAATTACCATACTGGATCAGACCAGAGTTCTGGTCCAGTATCCTGTTTCATAGTGGCCCGTTTGAGGTGTTTCAGAGTAAGGTACAAGAAAGCCCACAGTGAACAACTACAGAATAACCTATCTTTGGGAGAAGTTTGTGCCTAACCCCCATCAGTTAGTGGTAAGCTTATGCCTGTAGGTCTGATCATTTATATCCCTTCTCATAAGAGGAAAAAATTGTTTGTGACAAGACTAAAAGCAAGTGTACAGGGTCTCAGTTCTAATACAAGTTCTAAACATGAAGTGGTAGCTTCTAAAATAAATGTTTACACTACAGTTTTCTTTTTATGTAATGTTTCTAAAAATCTTATTTGTGCAAAGTGATCTAGTTAAATAATTTATCATGCAAAGGAATAAGTTAATGGTCACTATTGAAGACTAACTTGGGGATAGAAGAAGGCCCTGTGTCCACCTAGGCCCATCTGTCTAGTATTGGTAACGTCATTTTTCCCTCAATTCTTGTAACTTTCTTTATGCATAGAATAACTAAAGCAGGCAGAACATAATAATATTTACTTAAAGTAGTTTTGTCTTGGACTACATTTCTCAAGATATTAATAGAAATAAGCTTTGTGTCCCAAATCATTAGTCTAAATGACATCAAATGGGTAACAGCTGAAAGTTGTTGCCACCTGAAGACTCTTTATTGCCTATAGGAAATGAATTTGTGGGTTCAGTCAAGTTCTCACTTGCCAGGAGACCACATATCAAATATGGTGGTTATTTTGTAACTGGTTGTCATTTTTTTTGCAGTGTTAGGTGCAGAGGCAGATGATTGACTGAATGGGCAAGGAAAGGAGACGAGGAATGGGGTTAAAACAATTTGGGACGCTTGCACTACTGCTGTCTATGCTATGCCTGTTTTATAGGCAAATAAAGGGTTTAGTTGACAAGTCACACAGCCCACTAAAGACTGCATGTCAGTTAGAGAGAGTGATATATGGCTGTGAGTATAGTAACCCAAAGGAGACACTATGTATTCAAAAAGTTTCTTAGCTATTATGCTCAAACATAATTGAGTTGGTGATTCTTGCCTGTGCACATACACTTCAGTGCATTCTGCAAATGTGTATACATCTAAATAGCAGTTGCATTTCATTTTCCTCCTCCTTCTAATACAAACTTCCATTTAATTATAAAATCTTTGCTGATAAAGTTGGTAGATAACACTAAGATTAGTAGAATACTAAACAACAAAAAGGGCAGGTTTCTGTTACAAAGTGACGTGAATAGTCTGGTTAAATGATAACAATGTGTTTTTAATACAGGTAAATGCAAGTAATATATCTGGGAACATAGAATGCTGGCTATACCTCTGTCTTGGAAAGCAGTGACTCATAGAAGGACTTAGGGATGATTGTAGATCACTCTCAGCATGAGCACTCAGTGCAATGCTGCAGCAAAAAAGGGCCAATGTGATCTCTGGATGTATAAAAAGGGAATATCAAGTAGAAATAAGGAAGTGGTCATGCTTCTGTACACAACATAGGTAAGACTGCTACTAGAATACTGTGTACTGTTCTGGTGTCCACACTTCCAGAAAATGATATGGAAAGAGTTAGGAGGGCTACAAAAATAATCCCAGGACTGGTAAACAAGCCTTGCAACACAGAACTGAAGGAGCTCAATTTATTCAGTTTGAGAGGTAACATGATCACTGTGCACAGGTATATACCCGTGGAAAAGATATCTGATAGTAAGGGGATTTTCAGTCTTGCAAACAAAGGCATAACAAGATCCAGTGGCTGAATGTTGAAGTTGGACAACTTCATCCTTGAAATAAGATGCAACTTCCTGGCTCTGAGGGTAATTAAGCATTGGAACACTGTATCGGGGGAGGTAGTGGATTGGGATCATTAAAATTAGATTAGAAATCTTTTTCTAAAAAATATACTTTAATCCAGTTCTGGGAGAAATTCTGTGTTCTGTAGGTGGTCAGGAGTCAGGCTTTGCAGTCTGTGACTCCCCCTGTTCATTCCTTCCCTTAATGTGCCATAGAGAGAACAAGAAGCTCTGCATTGCCCTGTGCATACTCATAATACTTGCAGCCTGCACTAAGACATTGACTGTAATCAAATCTCATGCTTCAGGGTTTCAGCTGGTTGTTTTCAGGGATCAAGAAGGAATTTTCCTACCCAATACGCAATTGGCCAGTTGTATTCTGTCCACCACCCCCATCCCTCTCCTTAGGGCATTGGTGGCACCTCAAGTTTCTCCTGTCTTCTGCCTGTGGCGCACCTCAGGTTAGCTTCCTGAGGACTGAAATGGTTTGATCTGAAGTTTTTGGGTTCAATATATGGGTTACTGGGTGAAATTTAATGGCCTGAGATACACAGGAGGTCAGACTAGATGATCAAGTGGTGTCCGTTCTTTGTGGTTCATTCCTACCCTAAACTCTTTGAAACTATGAAATTGTGACAGTACAGCAAATGCCTTCAAATGATTCAGTTTTGGCAAGGCCATTTAAATCCCTGTGTTTCTTTCTGTCTTTGTGAGGATTCTTGAGAACATATTGAACATAAAGGATTTTACAATGCAGTGTTTATAATCTTGGATTCTGTATATGGGAAGAAGGGAAGGGGCTATTCTAAAATGTGCAAGTTTGCCACCCAATCCTTTGAATAAATAAAACAGCACATTCTTCTTTGTAGGTACAAGAGGACTAAAGTTTCACTAGAGCCATAACTAGAATGGACAGTTACTTTAAAGCAGCAGTCTGTGACTTGGACAAAGTACTTGATGAATTTGAGCAAAATACAGGTTAGATGGATCTTTGTGCTACTTTTTATTGTTGTTGTTGTTTGGGGAAAACAAACTTAAATGGTTAAGACCAAGAGGAAGTGAAAAAAATTTGGTCTGTTCTTTTTAAGTGGTATTTTTTGCTTGAAGAAAGCTTTTGCGAGGTGTGAGTGCCGTGTGAAGAACCAGTTTTATAAACTTTGCTTTTGATCCCTTTTTGTTTTTAAATAGATGAACTTGACTGCTACAGAACAGCTGCAAACCAGTGTGATTCAATACAGCATTCAGTCTCTTCAGAATTGGATTACTTACAACCTGTATTCCTGGTACCAAAAGTGCAAGAATATGTTAGCAGTTGTAGTATGTCAGAAGAATTCTCTCTAGCCAGTCAGGCTACAACAAATACAGCAAAGTTTGAACTGAATTCCTCAGCACAAAATGAGAAAAATGTTACTGGACTCGATCTTCTGTCTACTGTGGATGGAGGTGCCTCAAATGAAATTCAGCCTTTGAGCCTGGGGAGGTGTAGTATACCTATATGTGATCTCATCAGTGACACAGGTAATTTGATCCATTCAACGAGTAATCATGAAGATATTCAGAAGCTGCAGCCAGATGACTTCCAATGCAATGAGAACTCTTTGGTTGGGTTTGATTTATCTTTAGTACCAGCTACAGTTTGTAGTTTGTCAGTAGCTTTCGGTGGTGTTTCAGGCACAGAACAACAAAATGGTGGGGACACAACACTACAAGATGAAGGACATGTTGCAACAAAAGAGTTGAGCCAGTTGGATTTTAAAACACACAATCGTGGTAAAGCAAAGCTCTCAGATTCATGTGATAGTCAAATTAGGACAGAAACTTTAAAGGATAATCAGGTATTTGATCAGCTGGAACAAATTACAGGCCTTTACTCTACATCTGCCTTTGTAACATCACAGACCCCAAATGCACTCAGTTCCAAAGATGACACAACCCTTGAAAAGCTGCCTTGTGAATCATTAAAAGATGCAAGTCTGTGCTGTGTGATAAGTCAAGAGTCACCTGAAGAGAGTGTTAATGAAAATGTAGATTCAAAAGATGAAGGTAATGGGGAATCCTTGCCTTCTGATCTGCCAAAGAGTTCTGAACTACACAAAAGCAGTTTAAAATTATCTGGAAAATGTGTTTTACCAGACTCTTCTTCTCAAATAGAGGATAGGGTAGTATTAGATAAGATGAAAAGTGCAGAAGACAACTTGTGCAGTCCAGAACTTAATACCAATGAAATATTGCACAGTGTTTCAACTTCACATGTAACCGATGAAGATATCCAAACCTCATTGTCATGTCTTCCACTTGCTGTATCCATATGTGGTTCATTAGTTGTAACAGAAGACAAAAGTGGCCATATACCTCACAATGAAAAAGCAGATGTCATCAGTGATACTGTGACTATGCATGCAGGAAAATCTAAGCATGGATTCTCCAATATGGAATCCTCTGGAAAGATGGAACCTTCTGAACAGGAAGGATATCTAAACCAAATCAACCAATGCTTTGTAGAAGAAGCTATAACTATAGCCGGAAAGAAGCGGGAATCTGACAACAAAATTAATAAAGGTGATTCTCCCCAAATCCACGTTGCTGCTGCTGCTGGCCCTGTTGGAGAATCTAAAATTGAACTGTGCAGTGATGGTATTCAGCCAGTTGACAGTCATGATCAAAGTATTACTTGTCCAGTTTTAGCTGACTTAACTATTGAGGAAGACTTAATTAAAAGTGATTCACTGATTAGTGATGCTGAGCTTGATGCCTTCTTATCTGGACAGTGTCTTCAATCCAATAATTCAAAGCCCTTTGAAGAAGGTATGGATGATCTGCTGGAGTCTGATGCAAATCAAGCAAACCTGGATTTCAAAAAGGTCAATGATTCACAAACAAAAGCAAAACTGGAGGAGATTGGAGAGATTTTCAGTATTAAAAGTACTTGTAGAATAGCTGATATTGAATATAAATTGGAGTCTCCCCCAGAAAAAAGTACATATCCTATTCAACAAGAAGCCTCTAACCATATAACTGAGACTCCTATTGAAGTACCTGTCCCTACTCTTAGCCATCAGAACGTACATATTGGAGGTGCTAGACCTAAACAGTTGCTTAATCTTCCTCAAAGAACTGCAATTGAGAGAGAGCTCAGCAAGCCAAATATGCCTACGACTGAATTCCGGGAAGTGAATTCCATACCCCCAAAAGCCCCTCTCTCAGAAACCAAAACTAGTACTGACATAAGCTCCAAATGTAATCAGTCTGATATAGAAAACTCCTTGGAAGCAGGCGGAAGTTGTGTGCCTCCAAGCATAGAACCTGTTAAAACACCTCTAGTTCTGGGACTAAAACAGCCACCCTGGGTCCCCGATTCAGAGGCACCCAACTGCATGAACTGCCAAGTCAAGTTCACATTTACAAAAAGAAGACACCACTGTCGTGCATGTGGGAAAGTAAGTTATGAAAAAATGCTTTGCATTAAATTGTTTTTGCCCATGTATTGTGTTACAGCAGGGGTTTTCAACCTGTGGTCCATGGACCCTTGGGGGTCTGCAAACTGTCTTAAGATTTCCAAAGGGGTCTGCATCTCCATTCAAAATTTTTAGGGGTCCTCAAATGAAAAATATGATGCCATGACACAATGGTTTTCAATCTAATAAAACCACTCTGACTTAGTTTTTCCTTCCTTTGCCTGATATTTAGTGCTACTTTTTTAGGCTCTATCAACTTTTCATTAGGAAACTTTTGAATTAAATTAACTATATATTTTTATAGTTACAGATGACTCGGTGATTGTCAAATACTAAGTATTAAGCCAAGATATAAGATTTTACTGTGAAAATACAGTTGGGAAAAATCTCGCCCTATGACCTATTATTGACCAACTTAAGCTGATTACTAAGGAGTTTTTTCTTTGGATATCCAAAGTTTTTTTTTCTACCTTCTAAATGATGGAATAATAAATCTTAGTATTTCAAATCTTAATGAAATCTGAGAAAGTACAGGGAATGTGGGGAAGACAACTCATAATTACTCTTGATTGTGGTAATCTGTAAAGTGGTCGGTATAATGAATAAGATTTGCTATTTTCAGTTGCTATTTATTTTCCACTGTATGTCAATGATGTGTTATGGAACTAATATATTACACAAACTCACTAAGTTAAAAGAATATTAAGACTGCAAAGTCAAGCACTGCAAAGTTAAGCAATGCTAGAATTAAGGATATTATCATAACACGTAGGAGCCGTAGTCTTGAACGAGGATCCCACTGTTCTAGGGGCTGTATAAACACAGAACAAAAGATCCCTGACCCAAAGAGCTTAGTCTAAGCCTGTGCAGCATTAATTTGAGCCTTAGTGCATATACATTACAATAGTCTTAGATTTTAATTATATGATCACATACTATTTTTTACTAAGGACCCCTGCCTCATTCAATGCAGAAGATGAATAGTGCTTAATGAGCAGCAAGCTGCTATTTAATATTTTATATTATCCTGGTTCAGTGTGTGGCCCCATACCTTATTTACTGCACATCACTGAAAGCCTGCTCTGAATACATAATTCATTTCCTCATAGGCTTTTCTGTGGCACTCCATCACTATCTGAGTGCTTCACAAATAATAATACATTTTATTTTCACCTCACTCCTGTAAGGTGACAGTATTATCCCTGTTTTACACACAGGAAGCTGTGGCACAGAGATTAAGGTCAACAGTGTACACTAATTTTGGGTGCCCAATTTGAGATGCCTAGGGCCTGATTTTTTTCAAAGCACGTAACATATTTTTACCATTTCACATGTTCAAAGCACATCTCCCATAGATTCTAGTTTGAGCTGAGTTTTTAGCACTTCTGCATATCATTTCACAGGTGGTCACTAACGAAGCACCTGGGGTAAGTTTGATTTAAACAAGTTGTCCAGAATCACATGGGAACTCTGTGGCAGAGGCAGAGAGAGAATCCGGTTCTCCAGAGGATCATTCAACTGTCTTAACCTGCTGTCCCCAGCCTTATTCACTACACGCCTTCTAAATTCTGCAGCAAATAAGGCAGTGGTATTATACACATTTCCTTCATTACGCAACCCTGTTTGATCCTCAGAGTAGTTCTACCTTGTGCTGTGACTGAGGCAGGAGTCCCGTTTAAAAATAAATAAATAAATGTGATTATGTAATGGCAATTGTATCCTAATGCATACTCCTAGGGAGACCATATGAGTTTATGGCAATATTAATTTTGACATTGCCTAACTTTTGAGTACTTGACTTCACAAACTTAATTTTTTCACATCTTTTTATCTATAATTTTGTTTGTAGCTCTTTTAAAAGGAAATCTGAAAAAAAGAAAAAAGAAAAAAGTTATTTCATAGATTTTATATTGATACCACAGGGTTGAGTAACAGGGTTGGACCCTTTAGATCCACAGCACAGACATCTGCCACTTGGGCTCATGGTAACTGCTCACTGACAGCAGTAGTAGGTTGTCATCTGGTATGTGAACCAGACACTAAAAGAGGATGAACACTCATTTTGGTGGTAGGTTTTACAGCTGTTTTGCTGATGACAGAAGTATGTTGAGATTTGGGAATGTTGGGTTCCATTTGAAGTTCTGGAGAACTATGTTCTCTACTGATCACAGATCCTCCTGCCCCTGTTCTTTCCCCCAAGCCTGACCCATTCTGTGTCTGTCCCTTCCATCCCACTCATGTCTCAGTAGTTCTCTTCCCCCCCCCCATACCTCATACCATTCTCCTTGCCTAGCTAGTTTCTTTTTTCCTTAGTGCTCCCCCATCAGAGTCACATCCCAGTCTTTCTCCTTCCCCATAGCCAGTTATATGAATCTACTCCCCATCTGTGCTTGTCTCTTGTCTCTTCTGCTTTGGAATCAGCTGTTTCTTCATCCATATTGCCTGAGAGCACAGGAGAAATTGTCTTCCTGCTCTTAGTTTTGGTGCCTGTTGCTACATTACCTGCAGTTGATGTTCCAGGCTAAAGTCCTGCCTAGCTCTTGCAGCCTGGGCTAGAGCATATCCAGTACAGATGGCATTTTCAGAAAACTTAGCTTCCAAACTCTTAATAAGTCTCTACTGAGCATGTGCAAACTGAGACCCTGAGGTGCCCCTGTATATTCTCAGATGTGGGATATATAGTCTCTGGTGTTGAGGTGCAAAAGCACCTTGAAAAGCCATATCTGTTGGCCCCTTCTGTGGTATATGAGATCTTGTGTGAGAGTGATGTCATAGCCCTTTTTATAAGGGTATAGACTCCCCCACAATGTACGCAGTTGCTTCACTGTTACTGCAGAAAATGAATGGAACCTGCTTCTATCCAGTCAAGCTAGGTCTTAGTCTAATTTACCAATTTCTTGTAATTAAGAGTGGCGTAGAAAAACTCAGTGTACATAGCCTGAATTATCCCAGGAGCCTTCAGAGCCTTTATGGCCCAGAGCCTTGTAAGAGCTATAAGAAGTATGTTTGCAGTGATGTAGGAAGCACCCACCTTGGTGCCCACTTCTGACACCATTGCCCTTGCCCCAATGCCATACCTTTCCTCCAGCACTGATACCTCTGTCTTGGCACAGTAAGTGCATGCAAATTCCTGTTGGGGTTAAAGGAAGGAGACAAAGAATCTCATTACAAGAGGGTAAAAGCAGAAGAGAACAAGTGCTATTCTTTGTATTTCCTGACATATGAAGGCCTTGGAAACTCTCATATGGCACAGCTGTAATTTCTTTAAGTTCCTCTGGAGCCAGTGTATTGTCCTCAACTAACTTGGACCCCACATTGATCTGGATGCTGGTAACCCCTTCGATCTCTGTAGAACTGAGTGGGAGTCCACTATCGAGACTACTAGACCCTGTCCCCACTGCCTATCACATACTTTTCTGCGGCCTGACTCTGTTCCTGTACCAAATTCTCTGGTCTCGATCTGGAACCATCTCAGAGACTTCCAACCCTTTTGGAAATGAACCTTTAAGGTCCCCTGTCTTGATCTTGATACTCTGCACATTTGCCCTTGCCTCAGATCCAGACATCATGGAAGCATCTCATGCAGGGCCCTCTTGAATTCTATATGTAGGGCCACATGAGGGACTTTGGCAACATGACCAACTCTGGTACTGACCTGTGCGCTGGCACCTATCCCTCTTGTGGCACCGTTCCTCCTTTGGCATTGATCCTCTCACAGCTGCCTATTCACCTGGCACTGATTCACCCTTCCTTGCTGACACCAATACTAACCCTGGACCCCTCACAACTGCAGGAGGAGCTGCCTATATCTGAGGAATTGGATGAGACACCTTTGGTGGAACATATAGATTGGTGCTTCATCCATTTCCCCTCCTGATAAATGCACAGTTTCAGGAACTCTTGGGGAGGTAGGCAAATGCTCTCAAGTTGCAAACAGTTTCACCAGAGACATCTGATCCCCTGTTTGACATTGCAGATTCAGAGCAGGGAGAAGCTTGCTCTGCCTATCAGCTCTGGCCTTCTCAGTCCAGCCAAGGATATCTGGTTCTCTTCTTTCTTATCTCCACCTGTATCAAAGAGAAGACAGGATGTGTCCCAGACTAGTTGAAGGACATACATTTTTACTGCGACACTTTTCATAATTCAAGACTCCCTGACAGATCCCAGGGAAAAACTGGTACAAACCAAGCAGTTCCGTAGACTAGTGGGCTTGATTCCTCATCGACCTATGCCATGACCTTTGCTCATCTGAACATGGGTGGTAGGTTATTACACACTAAATGTACAGACGAAATTGACTATCCCTTCTCCAATGCTCCAACAGTTTAATTGTGTGGAAAACGGACAAAATCTTCAGGGGAGATCCTTTGCTCTTCCTTTTCCTGCCATCACGGTCACCTTGGATGCTTCCAATCTGGGCTGGGTTGTGTATCAAAATACATGATCTAAGGAACACCTGGAGTCCAGACACCATATCAGAGTAATGGAGCTCAGGGTAGTGTAATGGGCTATTAAAGCCTTTTGTCCATTCCTGCAGCTGTGTGTAGTACAGGTGCTTGACAGCACATGGTCGTGTTAAATCAACAAGCAGGGAGGAGCACATTCTCAGCTCCTATCTGTAGAGGCAAGAAAATCGTAAATGTAGCATATCCAGAAACAAATCTGCCTGTAGTTCTTCTTGCTGGGAAAGTGAATGTGAAGGCAGACTTGCTCAGCAAGAGGATTCAGGATCAATCATCCACACAAGTGGCCCTGGAAACCAGTGGTGGCTATTGCAGTATTTTGTGAATGGGGTCACTCAATAATAGATCTCTCTGAGTTGGGACAGAGCACCAAAGTGTACTTACACAGGAGCACACAGACAAAAGCTCTTTCTCAGATGCATTTCTGCTGGACTAGAGCCAACATCTTCTATATGCTTTCTGTTCCATTCCCCTGATGCCCAGGGTCATAAGGAAGATCAGGCTCATTTGAGCCAACTTTGTGACCTTGTCAGTACTGGTATCCAGGTCTTCTGCAGGTGGCCAGAGAATATTCATGCTTGCTGCCTGTGTCTCAATATTAAGGAGAGGGATTCTGCCACTCAACCTAGATACACTTCCCCTAGCAGTATGGAGGATAACCTGTTGCATAATGAAGTTCCTGTTCTTTGAGGGTTCAGACCATCTTCTTACAATCCAGGAGGACTCCAGTCTAACATATGACCAAAAAAAATGCAAGTGGGTTTACTGTCTGGGCCACTGGATAAAAGGTTTGCTCAGTCTTAGGCTGGGAACTCTGCTGTCTTATAACGTCTTCTGCACCTTTAAGTCTTGGGGGTTATCCTTAACTTCTCTAAAGTTCCATATGGCAGTAATATCTGCTCAGAAGTTACATTAAGGTCAAACCCATCTTTTCTCATCCTACACTTTCTAGGTTTCTCATGGTCATTGTAAATGCATTTTCCCCCATTTAAGGAGTTGGCCACCTTCATGAGACCTAAAATCTTTCTTTCAAAGGCTTATAATTTGGCCAAATTTAGGTGTATTTTCATGGGAACAGCAAAAAGTGCATTCTAAACATAAAGGCAGTCCCTCCTAAACTTCAAATTCCTGCTCCAAAGCATGAGGATGTAGAGCTTCTCAATGAGAAATGGTTATGGAAATGTATTTATGAGAGAGGGCAAAAATTTCCACCCCAGCCTCATTTTGAGAGATGGCTACACCATTTTTGCTGAAATTCAAAAATTTCAGCATGAGCCAGACACCCAGTATGGAAAATTTCAGCTTAAATGGTTAGTTTGGTAATTATACAAGTAAGTAAAAAATTGCCTGACACGTGTCATTATAAGACTGTCTTAACTATAGGTGGCACTACCATCTCCACGTAAAATGTTTAAACTAGATTTTGTTCTGACCCAGGTGTTCTGTGGTGTCTGTTGCAATCGGAAGTGTAAGCTGCAGTACACTGAAAAGGAAGCAAGAGTCTGTATTGGCTGTTACAAATCTATTAATAAAGGTAAAAAGTTGTGATCATGGTTTTATTTACTTGTAATTATTACTTTCATCAAAGGAGAAAGTTAAGCAAAATTGTTATTTTAGGACTGAAGGATGAATCTGTGTACCCAGGAGGAAGCGTTTCCTTTCTAAGACAGTGATTGAAATGTTGATAAAATTTGCCTGTCTAGTAGATGTCAGTGACTTCAATCTTCCCTCTTCATTCTCTGCCACAGCCACAGTAATTATGCATATACTTGATGGAAAAGGATAGGATTTCTAATGCAGCTAGAGTGCTGCTGTTTGGTTGGCTGGTGTGGAGTCTAAATTGCAAAAATACTGCATGTAATTCCTTTCCCAAGGCTGTGTGTGTTGAGGCAAGCAACATTTTCAACCTCTGTTTAGCTGAAGAAATCTTCATCAGATTGTTCCCAAGACCATGTCCCCCTAGTCCACTCTGTTATGCCTCCACTTGTGTCATAAATGTTTGTCTAAATGGACTAGGCAAGATTGTGCAGTCCTTTTGAGGAAGGTTAAATTGTGCGAAGATGTGACATTATTAGTATTGGGAACAAGAGTGACAAACTGAAGCCCTAATTTCTTGTATTGAAACATTTAACAAAGGTAAAAGAGGAGTGCATTCCTGTTTTATTTAACATGGTTTTTTAATCATGAATCAAATTAATTTCTTCCTTTTTGATTATCCCAGTTAAATCTTGTTTTTACTTGCAATATTCTCCTGCCCATAATAGAAGAGTTAAGCACCTAAATGTGCTTGGTATTGAAACTCCACCATAGACCCTTCTTTATCTTTCCCAATATGGAGAATATGGGATTTGTCAGTACTTCACAAACATTTTCACAACTGAGCATGAAATGAAGCTAGTGTGATTTGTGATTAATATACAGAAGAACATAGTATCACTACTTAAGTTGGGAAATCCTTAGTCTATTTTTTTACAGTCTCTGTGAATATCCTTCTCTGTTTGAGTACTGTTGTAAATGATAGGTTTCAGAGGGGTAGTCGTGTTAGTCTGTATCAGTAAAAACAACGAGGAGTCCTTGTGGCACCTTAGAGACAAATTTATTTGGGCATAAGCTTTCGAGGGCTATAACCCACTTCATGAGATGCATGGAGTGAAAAATACAGTAGGCAGGTATAAATATACAGCACATGAAAAGATGGGAGTTGCCTTACCAAGTGGGGGGTCAGTGCTAACGAAGCCAATTCAATCAGGGTGGATGTGGCCCATTCCCAACAGTTGACAAGGAGGAGTGAATATCAGCAGAGGGAAAATTATTTTTTGTAGTGCTAACTTTTTGTAGTGCCCACGAAAGGTTATGCCCAAATAAATGTGTTAGTCTCTAAGGTGCCACAAGGACTCCTCGTTGTTTTTGTTGTAAATGAAGCGTGTGTGGTTGCAGGAATTACGTGGTTTGATGTATGGTCACTGCTGAAGCAAAAGGCTGTACAATGAGTGTCCATTTCTACATTTAGAAGAAAAATAGCAGACAGGAATATTTAATTTAAAATTTGAGGCAGCTGTAAACATTTAATAAATGGCATGATCTTAAACACTAAGTGCATTTTTTCCTTTTAGCACAGGCATTTGAAAGGATGATGAGTCCAACTGGTCCTATCCCTAATTCCAGTATCTCCTCTGAATGTTGTTCTACTGTTCCACCTTTGCAGGAAGCTCAGACAGTTGGCACACCTAATTCTCCTTCATCTTCTGTTTTGTTACCTATCTCTGTACTTAAACAACCAGGTGCTGATGGTAAGTTAAGTAATTTTGAGTTGCAATCTGTTATCTAAACTTTCTAAGCTATTCAGCATATACTCTTTCAACACATACATAGAATAGTTGCTTTTGCAGAATGGCTAGATTTCTTTAATTGATCAGTGTAGCCATTCAGAAAAGGCTATTAGGGTTAAGATACTGGACTGGGATTAAGAGAAACCTGTGTTCAATTCTGAGCTCTGCCATGGACGCAGGCTCCCTGTGTGAGCTTGGGCGAGTCACTCAATCTTTGTCTTAGTTCTTCATCTGTAAAATAGCTAAAGGAAGTATTACCCCTATCTTGTCTAGTTTGGTTGTAAGCTTTTCAGGATAGGGTCTCTTACTGTGTCCACTATATAGCACAAGGGACTGTGATCTCAGATGGGGCCTCTAGATGCTACAGTAATATAAATAATACTGAAACAAAGCAAGTAGTTGGGTGACAAAACATTCTCTGGCTAGAAGTGATAATGGATAAAGCACATCTTCATCTCATATATGTCAACTACACTTCTGAATTTTGTCTGTTTACTACAAAAATGTCACTGATAAAAGATTAGATGTACTTAGAGTATCTTTAAAACAAAAAGTGGTAGGTTATATGAATTGTTTTGTTGATAAACTATTGTTGTGTATCCATGATATGTTGCCATACTTCTACTACTCCAGAGGTAATTGATTAAGTAAATAGCAGCCTGTTTTAACTAAATAGGAGTTGATGCATTAACTATAGCTTGGTTACTTCTGCTGCTGGTGTGGGAATATCTTTGCCCACAGTTCTGCTTGACTGATTGGAGAGAATACCAGTTTTGTGTGTAGGGTGACTGCTTAGTTCCAGTAACTTTTACTACTTTTAAATCAGAAAATTCCCATGTTTTGGAGAAATATATGTAGAAAGATGCATCACTTGCACTACAAAAATCTCTGAACTATAATTGTGGTTCATACTAAATCCAACATGCTTAATGTAAAATCTTAATTTGGAAAAAAGCCTGAAATTTTATACAGACCCGTTTGCTGCTGGAAAACTGGTAATACCAAATTAGTGTTCTTTTTTTAACCCATTTTAGGGCTGTGTGCCAGAGAACAGAGGAGAGTCTGGTTTGCAGATGGTATTTTGCCTAATGGTGAAGTTGCAGACACAACAAAACTATCTTCTGGAGTCAAGAGGTCTTCGCAAGAGCTGAGTCCAGTAAGCCCTGACTTACCAGAGGTGCATATGGTATATTCTCAAAAGTGTACACTGATTCATGATTTTCATAAATAAAAAGTTGATTGTCTTTAAACAGCTTTGTTTGCCCATTTAAGATGACACCCTCATAAATGCAGTGTTATGTGACTTTGACTCCTCTCTGGCCAGTTGGGTTGCATCAATTTTAATCAACTTTTTCATTTGTACTTCAGTTATTTTCTAAAGAAAGATATTCTCACTGGTTGATAAGACCATTAAAACATGTTGAATTACAACTAAATAGAACCTTTACACTAGATTTGATACATCTTTTTTTGCTACCTTGGAAGTTAGATTGTAACTATATACATTTATTTAAGCAATTATATAGTTTAATGTTTTCAATTATTTTTAATTGTACATTTTTAGTGTGTTGGAACATGGTGAATGATATGTTGCTTATTTAGGTAATTAACTTTTTGCTCATTATTTGTGTCAAGCTGCATTAGGATGGTAACTGGAATTTAATTAAACACAAAATAGCATACACAACTTACTAAACAAAACAACCTTAAATGTTTTGGATACATAAACTTCTCTTATGAAAATAAGTTTAATATTTTACAATTAAATGATTCATTAAAGGAATAGAGCGATTAACTGTAGTCAGTGAATTAAACTCATTATTTCAGGTCAGCCTGGGAAAATTTTCAAATATGCCTAAGTGAAAGAGACTGACTGGAGCTTAAGTTCCTACTCGCCTAAGTCTCTTGAAAATGAGACAGCAGCCTCCTAAGTTACTTAGTTGTCCTTCAGACTTTTAAAACTAGTAAATCTTATCCCCTCCTTCCTCATTTTTATTCATAGATTGAGAGACAAGTTTTCCTGCTTTTTCAACTCCCAGTAGATTTCTCAACATTGACTGAATAGTCCAAATGAAAAAGATTCTTTCTATGCCTATTTCTGTCAAAAGCTGGTTTGGTATTTCAGCAAACTTTGGTTCCAGGTACTTAGTGACTTCCACCAGTTCAGTGGTGTGACTTCTTTTAAAACATGATCAGCAAACATGTCTGCTTGAATGGTTTACCTCCAGCCCTGAAACTTATCATGGTTGGCATGATTGATGGATGATTATTAGATACCTATGCCATAGCAGCATCTCCTTCAGGAGTTAGGCACCTACTCTAGGACTTTGGGTTGAAAATATTGGCAGGAAAATGAGGTGGAATAAATCTGTTTCTTCACTACCTGCAATTTAACTTTGTCGTTGGGTATTTCTTTCTGCAATATCTTTTGAAGTTCTTTCCAAATTTCAACAGCATCAGTAGCAATCTTTCTGCCGATTGTCCAAGGCAATGGAAATAGGTTTAGTATATTCAGCATATTGCCCACATTTTGCTTTTAGTCTGAAGTTAACTGCTTTCGTTGTGATAGTTCCATCTATTTTGTCATGAATTCCTTCACAATTTATCAGAATAGTCTAGTTCTTAATAAATAGCTCAAAAGAGTCAACCACTGAATTCCATCATACATCTTGGGGGAGAATTAGTTTGGATCCTTCAGCTCTATTCAGTAAAGCTGAAGCAAAGTGTGTTGTTATGGAAGAATCTTGCAGTTTCAACATTTTCCTTTATTCCTGGAGTTGTACTTAAGTCTTTGGCTAAAAGATACATTAAATGAGCACAGCTCCCATATATATATTTTAGGTTTCCTTCATTACCATCTTCTAGATTTCTTCTCATCTTTGCTATATTTGAAGCATTATCTGTGACAAAGCTACGCTCTTGACACTTTAATTTGTGGTCAGTTTGTTGTAGCTTTTACAGTTCTTTCTTTTAAGTAGTCTGCTGTATGGGCATTTCCTGATGTATCAATTGTTTCTGTAAAATAGGCAATGCCATCTTCCGTTGTCACACAAGCACATATTACTGTATCATTGTGTATATTGCTCCATCCATCAAGACTCAGATTAACAAATTTCCCATCAATGTTTTCTGCACACTGATCAATTTCCTTCTCATACACTATATCTAGCAACATCCCAACAATATCTGTCCTGCTAGGTGGAGTGTAGTCTGGTCATAATGACTGAACCATGTCAGTGAAATGCTTGTTCTGAACAAGATGAAGGGAGAATTTGTTGCATAAATGAATTGAACAACCTAGAGCCTTGCTGGAATTTGCTGGTGCTGAATATGATGGTTGATGATAATGAAGAAAATCTTTCTTTTATTAACAGGTCATTTACTGTTTGACATGTTTAGTTGCAGCACTGCTGGTGGTACCAGGAGATATTGCAGATGATGGATGTTTACATATATGAACATCCATCTTTATATATAAACTTTACTTTTAAACAGGAAATCTTCACCTAGAATGTCTGATTACACTGAGCAATAAAAAAATCATTCCAAAAGTCCAGCAGTAATAGTAAACATTTAATTGATAAATACTCCCATAACAAACTAATAAACCAATTACATTTTGAACAGACACTTTGAAATTTGTAACTAAGTAATTCACCCAAAACATAAATTTATGACAATCTAAGTTGTCATTTACTAGCATATTAAGACATTGTAGGGAGTCCATAAGAATGGTACCAAAATACGTTGACTAACCAGTTGATACATATTGCTCAGACATGTCCACATCGTCATCTTCAAAGTCATTGCCTTCTGAGGAGCGTTTTTCATAGTGTTTCATTCTGTTAACCAGGCCCTGCATCTCTTTGTTGCACTCTTTACATTTGGCACATGTTCCTTTTTTATCCAGACCAGAGGTTCCTGAATTTCTTGAAAATATTCCCAAATAGTCCTTTTTTTACAATATGCAGCCATGACAGTTTTTTCCTCCAGTTCCCAGGTGTGTAAATACTAAAGGCTGCACTTCAAAGAATATTGTCTCCTCTTCTCACGGTGTCCTGCTTTTACACTAGTGTTGCTCCTTTATGGTTACACACCCTGCTCCTTCTCCTTTGTTAAATAACTACCTGAACCCTCAGAAAAACAAAAGAACTAACTACAGTCCAAGATTTCTGCTTATGTAACCTGCATGCCTTTTGCGTTGCAGTATTTTGTTTGTTTAGAGACCGAGGGGGATTTCTGTTTGTGTACACATGCAAGGAACTGGAGCAAGGCCATTTGCTTGAAGTGCTCAGAAGCAAGGTCAGGTAGTTACTAGGCAGATCAGTGTTTTTCCGTGAGCTGGAGAGTGAATTTCCATGGTGGGTGGAGTCATAAATATTAATAATTTGAAAACTGAGCCAATCAGAACTCAGATAGGGAGAAACTATAAAATAGGAGTATGAGACTAGCTAGGTGGGCTCAGTGGATGATCCTGATGAGATACATGATGATGATTCCTGGAATCAGAGGTTGGGTCCCAGCATTTGTGATGACTTTGCCAGTCTCTTGCACCCATTAGCACAGCCCCTGGGCCCCCCACAGGATCAATCTCTTAAGGTAGTACATTACCTACTGTGCCATATTTATAAAGCTTGGCCTCAAAAGTTAGTTTTTCCCTGCTGCTTTCTGTGTATAGAAAAGCCAGTGTTATTGATAGAGGCTCATGGATTCAACATACTTAATCTCTTAAGCATTAAATAAAAAGTATCAGTAGTTTAGGTCTTAAGTAGGGCTGTCGATTAATCGCAGTTAACTCGCGATTAACTCAAAAAAATTAATCGCAGTTTTAATTGCACTGTTAAACAATAGAATACCAATTGAAATTTAGTAAATATTTTCGGATGTTTTTCTACATTTTCAAATATATTAATTTCAGTTACAACTCAGAATACAAAGTGTTGTATTATATTATTATTACAAATATTTGTACTGTAAAAATTATAAAAGAAATAGTATTTTTCAATTCACCTCATACAAATACTGTAATACAATCTTTTTATCGTGAAAGTGCAACTTACAAATGTAGATTTTTATTTTGTTACATAACTGCACTTAAAAACAAAACAATGTAAAACTTTAGAGCCTACAAGTCTACTCAGTCCTACTTCTTATTCAGCCAATCGCTAAGACTAACAAGTTTGTTTACATTTACGGGAGATAAAGCTGCCGGCTTATTTAAAACGTCACCTGAAATTGAGACAGGCATTCGCATGACACTTTTCTAGTTGGCATTGCAAGGTATTTACGTGCCAGATATGCTAAACATTCATATGCCTCTTCATGTTTCGGCCACCATTCCAAAGGACATGCTTCCATGCTGATAACGCTCGTTTAAAAAAAAAAAAAAAAGCATTAATTAAATTTTGACTGAACTCACTGGGGGAGAGTAGTATGTCTCCTGCTCTGTTTTACCTGCATTCTGCCATGTATTTCATGTTATAGCAGTCTCGGATGATGACCCAGCACATGTTGTTAGTTTTAAGAACACTTTCACTGCAGATTTGTCAAAACGCAAAGAAGGTACCAATGTGAGATTTCTAAAGATAGCTACAGCACTCGACCCAAGGTTTAAGAATCTGAAGTGCTTTCCAAAATCTGAGAGGGACAAGGTGTGGAGCATGCTTTTAGAAGTCTTAAAAGAGCAACACTCTGATGCAGAAGCTACAGAACCCGAACCACCAAAAAAGAATATCAACCTTCTGCTGATGGCATCTGACTCAGATGATGAAAGTGAATATGCATTGGTCTGCACTGCTTTGGATCGTTACTGAGCAGAGCCCATCATCAACATGGAAGCGTGTCCTCTGGAATGGTGGTTGAAGCATGAAGGGACATATGAATCTTCAGCGCATCTGGCATGTAAATATCTTGCGACGTGGGCTACAACAGTGCCATGCGAATGCCTGTTCTCGCTTTCAGGTGACACTGTAAACAAGAAGCAGGCAGCATTATCTCCTGCAAATGTAAACAAACTTGTTTTTTCTGAGTGAATGGCTGAGCAAGAAGTAGGACTGACTAGACTTATAGGCTCTAAAGTTTTTTACATTGTTTTGTTTTTGAATGCAGTTATTTTTTTGTACATGATTCTACATTTGTAAGTTAAACTTTCATGATAGAGATTGCATTACGGTACTTGTATGAGGTGAAATGAAAAATACTATTTCTTTTGTTTTTTACAGCACAAATATTTGTAATCAAAGTAAATATAAAGTGAGCAGTGTACACTTTGTATTCTGTGTTGTAATTGAAATCAATATATTTGAAAATGTAGAAAACATCCAAAAATATTTAAATAAATGGTATTCTATTATAGTTTTACAGTAATTAACTGACTATTTTTTTTTAAACGCTTGACAGCTCTAGTCTTAACATATTTTTTTATTAAATTCAGCTTTAATCTTAAACAGGTTTATTTTTTAAAAGAAATTATTATAATTAACAATCAAAATCCAGGTTAAATAAAAAATCTGATTTAAAATAAATTATTCAACTTTTTTTCTTTCTTTATTTTTCTTTAATCCACCCTGCTTTCTGGAAAGGCTTTTGGGTAGCTGTTCAGTTTTTATGTTGAAGTTGTAGACGAGACCACATTTAAACAGAAACCATGTGGATAAGGGTGTGTTCAGTGTATTGTGTCTCCATTGAAACTTTAAAATTATGTAGTTAAACGTTATGTAGAAAATGTTATGACTCCAGTTCTTCTGAATAGTATTAAAGTAATTGTTTTTGGCTATAAGTATTTCTATCTTATAGAGTTCTGAAGTCTGTCTTTATTAACATGTTGACAGTAAAAGTTCCCTTTTTTTTTTTTTCTTTTAAATTATCAGATAGAAAATTGCTTCTGTCTTTAAAAACTAACCTGGTTCTGCCAGGAGTCGCTTAATGCCCCGGTGCACCAAGTTAGAATTGAAAATAATCTGACTTTTCGATGTTCAAATTAAATAGAAAGGTGAGGGTGTTTTGAGGGGGTAGGGTGGTTGTATTTTGTATGGTGCACTCACATGCCTTATTTTTATGGTGCTGGCACAAGGAGGGAGCCGGTCTCTTGATTGTTCCTGCTGGGAGTGAGAAAGGCTCTTGACTTTCCATCCCTTCCTGCCCTGCCATATCATACCAACACTTTTTTTCTTTATAATTCAAAAAATATTATTACTTGCATTGAAGTTGTGTCCCATTATGCCAACTGTTTTACAAAGACGTGGTCTTTTCCAAAGAGCTTATAGTTCAAGAAAGCAAGAGAGCTGGAGAGATGGCAGGAGAGGGATACAACTTGATATATTCAATTGTTATATAAATTTGCAAATTTAAAATGTAAGGAAGCCAGTTATCCTCATCTGTTCACGAAATAACAAGCCCTTAGGAAATAATTTTTTGGTGTTCAGTTTTCTATGTGCGTATTTCCAGTACCAGTGCTTAAAACAAATGGCACTTCTGTCACAACCCAGTGCACACTGGGAAACTGCCAATTCCAGGAGAGCTGCATCGATGAAATGGAAAAAGAAGGGAGGAGGGAAATGCCTGGGCTGATAGTGTGGGATTTTAGTTTTACTTTAGTCATATGGGAAAAACTGATGTCCTTTTTGTGCTGCTTTGTATCTCCACACCCTGTCAGCTTTACATAATTCATTGAGGGGGCAGCATAGATGTGACACTTAGAGTAGGAATGAGCAGTACTATTAAATGCTGGAGTAAGCTGCTATTAGTAAAACATGTAAAGATAACTGTCTGCAGATACTTTAGGTCCAAATTATGGCAAATTACAGTATTCAAGAGCCTTGCAAAATAAAGTCATACTGGTAACTCTGCCTAGTTGTTTGTGGTTTACATGGCTAGTAATGTAATCCTTGATTGTGTTGTGTCTACTGACTGTGTCATACTTGAAAATAATAGATGCTCCATTTTTAGGTATGAATTACTATAGAACAGGTAAATATCAGACTAAATATTATACTAATTATTTTAGACTCAGATATATTTACCTGTTCCGTAATATGTATTAAAGATGCAAAAGTGCTGTAATTTTCAGAGATGTGGCTTGCTTTCTGTTTTAGGAAAATATCCCCTAAGATTCTCTATATGACTGTATGCCCTCTTTGTTGGCTGCTTTTGCATTTGAAACTCTAATATAGGAGAATACTAGTGCTGTTCAGGGATGCTGAATAACAAATCTAATCAACAATCTATTTTGTTTCTCATAGGTTGCAAGTCCGGTAGATGACATCTGTGTAACTGATGTAAAACCAAAGGATGAAACTCCAATTACTGCAGGAACTGAGAAATTCCATTGTTCCTTACATGTTGCTCCAGATGATGACCAGTTGCCCAGTACAGGGAAAACTGAGATGTTGCATAGTCCTGACTCTGTAATTCCAGCTACTGATGAATTACCTTTTATTACAAATGTTGAGAAGTCTCCTAGTCTTGGCACAGTTAACCAAACTAATGATGATTCACCTGTTAGTCCTTCAGACTACAGAATGCTATGTGGTATTGGAAACTGTGTTAGCAAAGAGTTCAGCCTTATTCCTGATGATGATGGACTGCCACCACTCTTACTTGCAACTGGAGAAAAAGGAAAAGGTAAAATTTGGACTGGGGAATACTAGTGTTTACTGGATGCAAGTTTTCTAAAAATATATGGACTTTCATGTATATACTGTGACATTCCAGAAGCCAAATTAACATTGTTTTAAAATGCACATTATTTTGCGGTATTTTGGATCCAGCTTGGTAGCTGAACTTGCACTTATATGAACTTGTATATTATGAAAAAAACCCATGAGCATAACCACAACAGTATCAATTAGTATTTGAGCCCAAGTATGTTTGCATATGAAGCATAGTACTGGTGCACAAGTTGCAGACCACATATGGTGTTGAGTTTATTAGTACTATTTAGCAAGAACTCTTCCACTCTCAGTTCAACTCCAGTCTCATTATTCAGGTTCCTTTATTTGGTACACAGCAAAGTTACCCTGATATGATGGGACTCAAGCATAGGGAGTGGGTATAAGGCATACCACACATTCAAAGTTACACAGCAAACCTCTTCTCATATATATAATTTACACATTATATTTACTATACATTGCATTACATATTTTGTGATTGGCTTGGTCACTTTGTAGGAGCCAATCCCTGTACAGCATGCACAGTTCATGCACGACTTACTCTTTATCTCATCTTATGTTCCAGGCTTATCTTACCCATTATTATCTTGTCCATAAATGGTACCCGGGATGTTGCCCCTTATCTTAGCTAGTACAGACATTCTGTTTCCAGTCTGCTGATCCATTTACCTTTCTAATCCTGTCTCCCAAGAAATGAGGCCTCACCCATGTTCAACCACTCATGTCAAGCCAGGCCTACGTCTAGCAAGCTAATTGTGGCCCTGAAGCTCCTGGCAAGATACCAATATGTTCCTGGGTGCTGTATATTATGCATGACTTGACAACATACTACTGTCTTATTTTGTTTGTGATATGGTCTAGTCATCTTTAAACAAGTGATGTTGCTATTCATTGGCTGCTATATGTCTGCCTTAGGTTCAAGAGAATATGTTTTTAGCAGTTTCCTTAAGTAGAAAGATGGAAGTTTCAAGTACCATATTTCATACATTGTAGTTTGTAATGTCTTTTATAGATAGAGAGGAAATGGATATTGGCTGGTGTATGGGATTAATCCAGACCTTATCTTATTTAGATCCTCTGGTGGAAGAACACCCATCTCATCAGCAGGTCACCTTGCTTCTTGCAGAAGGAGGACCTAATCCATTAACATTTATCCTAAATGCAAACCTCCTTGTGAATGTCAAGTTAGTATCTTGTAAGTAGGTAATGTACATTGTTTCCTTTTATTTACATATGTTCCATGGTTCATTATGTTTGAAATGTGTAAACACTAAATTCACTGATCTTGATGGTTGAGCAGATAAAATTCAAACATTTTCACAATTGTGAGATATATTTTAGCTGTCTTATTTTATCCAATTTGTAAATTTAAGGTTTTTAAAGTAATTTTTTCAGTGTGCTTCAAAGCAACTTTTAACCCCTTTTGTAATTTATTTATGTGCCTACTTGGTCGTTGTATCCTTTGTAGGACAAATGCAGGGCTGTATTCACCGTAACAATATCTTTCATTGGGAAGGAATAAGAATACTCTTATAAGAATGTTTTCCCCAGAAACGTGTGCTGCATTTTTGATGCATACTGTACACAGATTTCGAACTTATTTGTGTAAGGTGCTGTCTAATTGGGATTTTTTTATCTGTAGGTTTGAATAAAGCTCTGGAGACCCTGCTGTGTAAATAATGAAAGGATACTTCTGTTCATTTTACAGCAACTTAAGATATCTGTTTAAAAGATTTGGGAATTGTGATGGATAGTCAACTGAACATGAGCTTTTAGTGTGGTGCTGTGGCCAAAAAAGCTAATGTGAACCTGGGCCTCTTGAGTAGGAGTGGAGAGGTTATTTTACATCTGTATTTGGACCTGGTGTAACTGTTGCTGGAATGCTGCTGAGTTCCAGTGTCCACAATTCAAGAACGATGATAACGTGGAGAGGAATCAGAGAAAAGCCACAAGAATGATTAAGGGATTAGAAAGCATGCCTTATAGTGACTCTCAAGGAGCTCAATTTATTTAGCTTAACAAAGAGAAAGTTCAGGGTGACTTAAAATACAGTCTGTAAATACCTATGTACAGAACAAATTTTTAATAATATGGGCTTTCCAATCTAGCATAAGAAGATATAACTTGATCCAACGGCTGGAAGTTGAAGCTAGACAAATTTAGACTGGAAGTAAGGCAAATTTTTAACAGTAAGGGTAATAAACCATTGGTACCACTTACCAAGGGTTGTGGTGGATTCTCTATCAATTTTTAAATCTAGATTGGATGTTTTTCTGAGAGAGATGTTCTAGGAATTATTTTGGGGAAATTCTATGACCTGTGTTACACAGGAGGTCAGACTAAATTATCACAATGGTCCCTTCTGGCCTTTTTATTTAAAATGACTGAGTTTTTGATGCCTTTTCATTAGTCACTTAAACAGAAATAAGTGTGGCACCTGCGTGTGCTGCAAACATGCAACATACTTATTTATGCAAGAGGATATGATAAATGAAGACGTATTACTTGTTTCGTTCAAAGATACAAGCCTCTGCCTTGGGTTCCATAAAACTTTCTTTAATCAGCACCTTGATTCAGTGAGGAAGGAAGCGTGTATGGTTCCTTCAGAACCTGTATCCTATCAGATTTTTTTTGATGCCCATTATTGAACTATCTTCTCCAGTGTTTTTTATTTATGGTGTTTCCCTCTGGGTCTCTAGACAATATGGCCTGAGAAGAGTGTCCCTGTGAGAGTTACTCTCTCTCCTGTGCAGTGGGTTATCCAGTGCTTTCTGAAATTTCAGTTTACAATTTTTTATTTTTTTTTTTAAGACCGCAATATTGGAGTGGTAGGATTAAAGGGACAGAGGACCACAGATTATTAATTCCAATTTCTAATATATTTGATTCCAAGACTGAGTATCATATATGTGAATTTAAAAAAAATATTTTTTCTTATCACTAAGATTCTTCAGAAAAGTGCTGGTACTTCTCAACAAATGGATTACATAGCTTGGGTCAGGCAGAAATTATCATTATGTTGGTATGTTTGCCAAATGAAGATGCTGTTCCTAAAGAAATCTTCACGTTGTTTGTTGACATATATAAGGATGCAGTGAAAGGTATGGAGTTTTAATTTGTAGCTTTAAGATTCGTGTCTTATTGCTGACTTTAACACAAAGCAGGAAATAAATGGTGTTGCATTCTTAGAGGGTTCCTACTAATTTTGTTTGAAAGTTCTCCATGCTCATAACTATTTCCTCAGATTCTGTCAAAGTGATACAGGGGATTTAATTTAGGAATGTTTCCTTTTTTTCGTATTAGTTCTCCTGTAAACTGTCTCATTGCATTTTTCTTATCTTCTTTTTTTAATCTAATACTTTGGTATGATGGGTCGTAGGTATAAATCCTTTGTGCCCTGGTTCTGGAAGACAAGTGCTATCCTGAATAGTGTTAAGCAGAGCTTAATTTGCAAAAGTTAACTAATTGTATGTACATAGACTTGCCCAACAGAATTTTTGTGAAGTGTTAATTGTTTTGTAAATTAGTTTTATTAAAAAGATCTGTCTGAGTTGAAAAAGGTGTTTTGAAACTGGGTTCTATTGACTTATAAAGTGATAGAATAAAATGCAATACCATGTCAATAGTACCAAAAGTGCTAAAAATATTGTCTCGAACATTTGGCTTCTAAAAACGGCAATTTTTTAATGTGCAAGTACTTCAGTAATGCGTTGTACAAAACTATAAAGGACTTCAATAGAGATGGGAGGCAGAGGTCTGTATCCTGTTATCCTGAAAAGCTGCAATATGCACCCCGTTACTTCAAAAATGCACAAGAGAGACAGTGTTCACATAGTAATGGGTGGATTTCTTCCAGGTACCAACATGTATAAGAATGCATACTTAACATGTTTGTTTTTTACGGTGAAGATTTTAGCTATATCTCTCTTTCACCAGGAAAATACATAGGAAACTTGGAAAATTTTACCTTCACTGAAAGCTTTCTTGGTAGCAAGGATCATGGAGGATTCCTGTTTGTTGCACCAACTTTTCAGAAACTTGATAATCTCGTGTTACCAAATAATCCTTTCCTTTGTGGCATTCTCATTCAGAAACTGGAAATACCGTGGGCAAAGGTTTTTCCAATTCGCTTAATGTTGAGATTGGGAGCAGAATACGGGGGTGAGTTTTAACACTAAGTATGCATGTTAAGGCCCAATCCTGTAAAGACTTATGCACGTGTTTACCGTTATGCACTGTGAATGCCATTGCCTTCAAAAATTAAATACAAATGTGTTTCTTCAAAGGCTTGGGACTTAAATTTGTACTTTTATACATCAAACCTGTTTGTTTAAAAAAAAAAATAGCTTTGTAAACACTATGGTTCAAATTCTGTGCTGCTGGACACCTCTTGAAACACTATCAACTTCGTCAGGGTAGATGTGTGTAAATGGTAGGATTTGACCATAAAATATTGATTCTTCAAATTTTGTTTCAGGAGAAACATAAACTTTGCTAAACCAGTCTATGATACGGAATCTGAGTGTGCTGACAAAAGAGCTTAGATTGTGTATATGTAACACAATATATTGAATCTTTTTTGAATGATCAGATTTAATATTTGTGAAGTGTTCTGAAAACAGAGCTTTATGATCTTATTAATGTAAACCTAATACGAGTGTCTAATACATTATGGATTAAATTCCTCAGCTCCATATCGGTCATTAGTAATCAAGTTTCTCCATAAGGTGAGAGAACTTTTCAGTGTCCATTATTCCATAAAAATATGGCTTCTGGATGTTCAAAATGTGGTAGAAGGAGCAAGATACACAAATCCCACTGATAATTAGTTGAGTTTAATTGCTCTCAAACATGTGGAAATGTATTGACCACCTTTCTCAGAGTCTAAGTGGGGCATGGAATTCACCCCAGTTTACAGGCTGGCTGTTGCCACTGCAATGCAACTCTTCCTGCTTTTAGGGGCTGCTGTTCTTCCACATTTGCTATACAGGCATCTTGTGCTGCTGAATCAAAGTAAGCACAGATATTGTCTGTTTTATGATACCATTTCCCTGCAATGAGTGCTGAAGTCTATCATTTTACATAAGGTAAAGAATGAAAGGCTGCATCTGACCTTATTTTTATTTTTTTTTTAAGTTACGTGTTTTTAATTGGGTTAGAGTGTTTTGCTTGGTCTTTATGTGTAACAGTGTTCTTTTCTTCCTGTGAAAGCATACCCAACTCCTGTAACAAGTATCAGACACCGAAAGCCTCTCTTTGGGGAGATAGGACATACAATCATGAACTTACTTGTTGTGAGTAAACAGTTTTTTACATAATTTTCCTTACCCTCCTAATTATACATCAGATGAGTGTGAAATTACCCTCACAATTTTGAAGTTGAACTATTTGTCTTTTAGCGAAAAATGTTCTAACACGGTTTAATTTAGGTGTGACGTGCAAGTTAGACTTCAGTCTGTTCACACAATGAAATGCTCTATTAGAATAGTATTGAGTTGTGCCTTTCAGATTAATTATTGATATTGAAATATAGTAATATAATTTTGGTTTATTCATTTAAAATAAGTAGTTAATATTAATCAGCTCTTTCAGTAAGAAAGCTTTAGTCAATGATCTGGTGACTGGCTCTGCTGACATCTAGGAGACTTGGGTTTGTGAGTGATAAACTTTTGCTCTTCAGGCGATTGCAGCAGTAATGTGACATGATCTAAATTTAATTGCTTGCTACAGCATGCTGCCTTGATATATGATTTATTGCAAACAGCTCACCTACACACTTTTTTAGAGAAATGTAAACAAGCTGGAGACTACAAACTACTTCATTTAAGAGTATGAGCATTCTCTAGTAAGGCCGTACTTGGACTTGATCATAATTAAATCTTTTGTCCTCTGTAACAACACATAACACTGGACTTTTTATCCATTATGAACTTTTACCCATTTTATCCAAACTCGATCTTGCAGGGTTAAAACTATTTAGAGTGCATGCCCAGAAGGGACAACAACTTTTTCAGTTGAATGGTGATAACTATTGCTGGCAAGATTTTTGAATAGACGGTAATCTCTGTAGTTCAGGTTGATGCTGGCTTGACATTCTTTAACATAACCAAATTGGTTATATTTGAAGCATGTTAAATGTCAGTTTCTTGGCCCAGGGTAGAAGTTTTCTGGAAAGCTGAAATAAGAACAAGTATTTTGGGCAAAGTTCCCTTTTTAGAAACCTTTGCTACCCTTTTTTGGTTTGTTATAAATACTAGCTTTGTTTTAATCTGTTCGTTTTGACAAGATCTGGAGCCACCGACTAGTATGTTGAGATGATTAGATTACTTACTTTCTGTTACACTGCTCAATTAAACCATAGTTTGTATCCGGCAAGTCACTTAGCATGTTTCCCTCTCTGTAAAATGGAAATAAGAAGAATACTTGCCTCCCAAGAGTGCTCTGAGGACAAAAAAAATGTGATGAAAATTACAAAGTACTATATTTAAACAACTTTACTGTAAAACTCAACATTATGTAAAGATGGCAGTATCCTTCATTAAGGTGATCACTAGCTTTCTGTTTAAAGAAATCATTTGACATGCATATCCTTAATATTGCTAAAATGATACAGTTCAGCTGAAGCTTATGGTATATTAGATGGCTATTTGTGATTGTTGCCTTGTGGTAACTGGCCTGCAGAGCTTGTGTTTACTAGGGAAAAGGGTTTTTACAATGTGTTAGCTAATACATGGTAAAATCCTACTGTGGACAAGGCAGTTGTAGTTTTAACATGTGTTAACAGGTGAAGGTAAACACTAGTAAATGCTAAATAAAACTGTAACTGCATTGACCACAATAGGAATTTACCATGTGTGTGACCATGTGTTAACTAACATGGTTAAAAAAATCACTTCGTTTTTCCTAGTATGGGCACACTCACCAGTAACAGTACTGCTGCAGCTAACTGAGATTCCTTTAGCTCAAATAAACTTCTGAAGACTTATGCAAATATCTGTTATGGGTAGATTTTAAGTGATGCAGTGTGTTTGGTTTTTAGAAATTATGATATGTCAGTGGTTAAAACTTTATGCTGCTTAAACAGTCAGTTAATAAAGTATTTTGTTTGTTACAGGACCTTAGAAATTATCAATATACCTTGCATACCATAGATAATTTATTTATCCATATGGAAATGGGTAAAAGCTGCATTAAAATCCCTCTGAGGAGATACGATGAAGTGAGTATAATTTTGTAGATCATACTAATTTATTCAGGAAATCTAACCCTTCCATTTTCCTCCTATAATACCTCTGAAATCTTAAAGATGAGAAGTTGACAAGAACACTGTGGGCCAATTTGACTAGAAGCTGCAAAATGCAAAACACCTCATTGGAGGGTATTGGCTTCTCCAAATCAGAGAGGCCTATGTTTGCTTCTGTTCACTATTCAGTGGACTAATTTTTCAATTCTTAAACTTGAGTGTCTAACCAAAAAAAACCCAAGCACCTTTTCCCTATGGACTAACTCCCTGCTTTAGTGCTAATAGGTGAGCAATATTGCCTAGGTCCTGCTGGGATGTTAAGCAGGAAGATTGGTGATTAGTATAGGTGCTAATTGGTAATAGAAATGAGGAGAAAAAAAGATTTCACTGAAATCTCTTCCAAGGATGTTTAGGCCTTCAGCTTCTTCTACTGTGAAGTTTTGTTCTAGTTTAAAAGGTGGCTTTACAAAAGCGTAATTTATTTTTTATAGATATAGATATAAAGTTATTTCAAATAGTTTTTTGCAAATTTCAGTCTTCTCAAAATTCGTACTGTTTTTGCACATTTACTGTAGATCTGCTTGGAACTTTGATAGAAACAAATAATAAACTCTTGTTCTGTTTTTAGGGACCCTATTAGGCTATGAAGCTTTAGGATTCTTCCAGATTTTGCAAACTGTGTTGTCCTATACATAAAAAATGAAGGTCTCTTGGGAGATCCTTAATATTTGGTAGTATACTTGGTCAGGGAGTACTCACTCAGATTGACTTTTCCCAATCAGTAGAACTTTGAAGTTATGGTCACCAGTAAACCCTAAATTTACCCCGATAAGCAAGTTCCATAAAAAATCAGTTCTAAAAAAAAGATTTTAAAGTGTAAATTATACTTCAGCTTTTTATAGAGAAAGCTAATGCTCACATATAGAGGCAGTTATTTTCTTAATACAGCATTTTACCTGAAAAATGCTACTTAGCTGTTACACAACCAGAGTCCACAGAGAATTTAACAAAACAGAGCAAGATTTTGTTGCAGAAATGTCAGTTTCTAAATAAACATTTTGTATTTGCAGGTAATGAAAGTAATACATTCTTCTAATGAGCATGTTATTAGCATTGGAGCCAGTTTTAGCACTGAAGCAGATTCTCACTTAGTTTGTGTACAGTGTGATGGAGTCTATCAGACACAAGCAAACAGTGCTACTGGCCACCCTAGGAGAGGTAAGTGGCTTTTTATGTTTTTAGTGTTTTATCAAACCTCTGAAACTGGTATGTGCACTCGAATGTTTTAGGGGATTACTAGGAACCAAAGGTGTGTATTTCTGTAGTTTGTGTGAGCAGATGATCCTGTATAATTCCAAACGCTTTGACCACAATACGAAGCAGCTAGACAATAATAAAAGCGTACATGACATATATGTATGACATTCAGTGGTTAGCAAAAATACTTTAATTACATAAAGCATTGTTTGACAACCTCCACTTAACATTCCATTTACACTAAATTATTCAAATTTCACTCTAACTTTTGACCTGTTACTTGTCCCTTTTCAGAAGCTTTTTGTATTTTATGACCACATCATACAGTTCTTAGATTAATTCAGCTTACATTTTAAAGGGGTGCTGTTGAATAGCTTCTGGTCCATTACTTTGACACTCTTAAAATTGCTATAAATTGCAGAATATCTTTCAGATTCTAGGTGGCTACATATCTTTTACATCTGTCTAGTTACATCCTAGGCTAGAGACTAATAAGAGTAATTAACAGTAGTTAAATTCTTGTTTGTATAGTGCTTTGAAAACATTAATCAATGCCTAGCAAGCTCACACAAGTAGTCTGTAGTGACAAGGGGAAGATTTAATGGTGAAGTAAATGGGTTTTTACAGGTTTTAGTGCCATTTAAAGTGGATTCATTATTTTACTTAATAGAATGTTCCAGAAATTAAAACCTAATTTTAGAGGTAACTTCATGTATAAGCAAGAAACAAATTTTAGGTCCTACATATTTTCTATTCTTTCACAGTTTTCTTCTTTGGCTACTGTACCTGTACGACTGCCAGCATCTTGTTGGGATGCTGCATGTCTTCCTAAAACTCGAAAAGTTAGCAAAATCAGTGCATTTTTCTAGGCCTGATTTCAAGGAGCGAATTCTTTTGGTGCTAGCAGGAGCCACATCAGCACATCTTCCTATAACTGAGGAACTTTTATGTGCACTTTCAGTGTAGCATAATATTTAGCACTTGATGTATAGTGCTTTACACTTTCAAAGTGACTGTTAACTCACTAAGTATAAAAATGGACAATATGAAGTACCTGATGTGTTTACTTTTGTGTTTAGTTACAGGTGCAAGTTTTGTAGTATTCAATGGAGCCCTAAAAACAACTTCAGGATTTCTTGCTAAATCAAGTATAGTTGAAGGTATGGATTGCATCATAAATGATTCCTTATTAAGAGGCAAAGAATTGGTGTTGGAACACTACTCTGCGTAATACTGATGTGATTAAGAGTCTGTTCCATTGTAAACTAAACTTTTTCTTTAAGGTTTGTAACTTAAAAAAAAATACTTGTGCATAAATCATGATATGTAAATTCGTAGTTTGGGACATACATTGTTTGAGGACACTTTTGCTATGTGGCTTTTTTGGACCTCTTGACTTAATACCTGTCATTTTGTAAAAAATTTCAACGTGAGAAGCTTATCGGAGAATTTAATTCAGTTGTTTCCTGTATGCTTAAGTTTTTACCTCTACTTTTGTGTCACATTTTGTGGCTCACTAAGTTGTTCAAGATTCATGAAAAAAACTTTGACCAGATGGAACGTCCGCTCCATTAGTCTACCTTTTTGTTCACCAAAAAAGCTTTGAAAATTGAACTAACAATTTTTCATATAGCATTTCACATTGTGATGAGGAATAAAGTCAATATTCTACTCACAGGCTTGTGAAATTGCATTTCTTAAACAATTCAAGAAGATCAATTGACTAGGCAAGGTTCTATTAAAGTACTCTTCCCTTTTTGTTCTCTAAAGGAAAGTGGGAACTTTTACTGTTTCTCTTTTAGATGGACTAATGGTACAAATAACTCCAGAGACGATGGAAGGTCTACGTCAAGCTTTAAGGGACAAAAAGGACTTTAAAATTACATGTGGCAAAATGGATGCAGAAGAAATAAAAGAATATGTAGATATTTGCTGGGTAGAGAGTGACGAAAAAGTAAACCAAGGGTATGAATATTTGTTACTAAAGCTGTGTGTATGGTGGTTGGAACTTTCTCTTCTCTTCCCACCTCTCTTGAAATGAAAGATGGATATTTAAAGAATGGAAAATAAAGTATTGTAATTAAAACTAATATCTTGCTATTTAAAGCTGCCAAGGAAATAGGAGTGAAAACTGCCTGTACGCCTCTAGATATCACTATGAGAACAACTTTAGACTATAATGGTCTTTTGAGATTTTAATTATCAGTGGGGTAGCCGTGTTAGTCTGGATCTGTAAAAAGCAACAGAGAGTCCTGTGGCACCTTATAGACTAACAGATGTATTGGAGCATGAGCTTTCGTGGGTGAATACCCACTTCGTCAGATGCGTCTGACGAAGTGGGTATTCACCCACGAAAGCTGCGTCTGACGAAGTGGTTATTCACCCATGAAAGCTTATGCTCCAATACATCTGTTAGTCTATAAGGTGCCACAGGACTCTTTGTTGAGATTTTAATAACTGCCTGGTTTGGGAGTGGTGGGAAGAGGGTCTTCTTATGGTGTTGCCTGTTTTTAGTCACAGTCCATCTGTCTGATGAGGACTGGTTGGCTCCCTTCAGAGTTCAACAATGCCATTCATTAGATAGAGGGGGGCTACTCAGTGAGGGCTGCAAGATTCCCCTCCCCACCCCAGTGGCTGTGACTGTCAGGGCACTATCAGTACTATAACATATGAATTGGTTTAAGACAATGGTTTTCAACCTCCTTTCATTTGCGGACTTCTACAAACTTTCAAATGGAGGACCCCTTTGGAAATCCTAGACCTGTGGGTCCATGTACCACAGGTTGAAAACCACTGATTAAGAGTTTCATTGTAGGTGGCTTAGAGAATGTTTTGTTACAGTTAGGGCCCTACCAATTTCATGGCCGTGAAAAAAGCCCTTCCCCATGACATCCGATGTCCCGTTGTTCCTAGGAGTGCCTCAGCAAAGGGGGCTCCTAGCTCCAGCTGGGCAGAGGAGGGAGAGGACGTATCCAGAGAGAGAGGGAGAGAGTGTGAGTGTGTGGAATGTTGAATCAGACCCACCTCCACCTCAGGGAACCTCCTGCAGCTGCAGGACGCTCTGCGGTTGCGCCTTCAGAGTCCAGCTCTGAAGACAGCACAGAAGCAATCCCATGATCCCCCTACAACAGGTTTCCGGACTCCCCCATTCCCCGTTTGGGTCGGGACACCCCCCAGTTACAACATTGACATTTCAGATTCAAACATCTGAAAACATTAAATTTACCAATTTTAATGTTCTATGGCTGTGAAATTGACCACAATGGACCGCGAATTTGGTAGGGCCCTAATTATAGTGGGTCTGAATAAATCATGATTACTGTTCAAAATTAGTGTCTCTTGCATTATAATTAAATATCATAAAACAGTAGTTCTCAAATTATGGTCTTGACTTAGTCCTTTTTCTAGTGACTCATAGGACCAACCAGAACACATACACAGTGCCCCAGGGAGGTGGTCCACAAAAGGTACTCTTAGGAAATAGAAGGAAAAGCTGGAGATCTACTGACCTGGTTAATCTTAGTCTATTAGGTACTCATATGTAAAGTGTGTGTGTTTATCTAGAACTGAGATGGGGTTAAATTTTATATAGAATGGAAATAGCAAATGTTTACAGTCTAAAACATACACATACCATAGCCTCTCTGTTTGTATATATTTTAATACTACAAATTTTATGTATATATTGAGATCATTAGAGAAGAGCTGTAATTTTATTCTTTTGAAGTTTGATTTAACTTAAAGCAATGGGTTTTTAAGTTGAACAGTTGATTTTTAGATGAAAGAATGCTCTGGTTCAGTTTTAATTTATTATATACTTATTCTATAGAGTTATAAGCCCAGTAGATGGAAAGTCAATGGAAGGAATTCAAAGTGAAAGAATACTACAGGGAAATTTTGAAACTGAGGAAAAACTTATGAAGTGTACCGAAGTAAGTAAATTAATACTAGTAAACAGTTTGTTTATATGTTAAAATATCAGATTTATTTATACCAATTGCTGTTCTAAATAGCATTAATAATACTGATAAAGGGAAGGTGCTACCACAGAAACTAGTTCACTTTTGGCATGCAGCCGTAGGAACATGCCAACTATGTTCCTGCCGTTCTCTCTGACTTTCATATCAAATGTGTGGATAGAAGCGATTTTATTTTTTAAATAGGGGTGATATATTTTCCTTTTTTTTTTTTTTTTTTTTTTTTTAAACTTTAGATGCAATTATGAAACTTCTAATCCAGTTATTCTCGTGGCTACTTGTTAATTCACTAAGTGTTTTAATTGTGAGGATAATTTCCAACAGTACTAACAGTATTTGCTGTTTGGGGACTTCTTGTCTCTTCCTAGTTTTTGAAAGCACCTAGCACATTTGGGCATTATCAAAATATATATAATAAAAATGAACAGTTATATTAGAACTGTCTTGCTACTGATAAACTACCCAATTCCAAAGCTGAAAGTCTTTTGCCAATAAACAAGTGTAGATAATTTTACTGCATCTTAAGCAGTGATACTGTACATTGAGCCATTTTGACAACTTTGAAATTCTTACAAAAAAAGCCACTAATCATGTCATGTCCTTACTATACTTTCAGGTGTTCTATATCCTAAAGGACCATGAGCTATCCAGTGCAACACCCTATCAGTTTGCAAAAGAGATTGCTGTAGCTTGCAGTGCTGCTCTTTGCCCGCATCTCAAAACGCTGAAAAATAATGGGATGAATAAGCTAGGTCTCAGAGTCTCCATTGATACCGATATGGTAATTTTTGTTTATTGCAGATATATATAACATTATTTAATATCATCACCTTAAAATAATGGTATTTAGGTATAGCTTCTCTAGCCCTTTTAAACCTTCCCACAGCGCCAAATGCAAAGTCCATTACCAGCAATGGATGTACCTGGAAAAGTCAGAACACAAGTCTGAGAATTAGATTCAATCCCTGTTGCTCCTAGAGAAACTACTCTAGGTCATGTTTCAAGATCTTAGCTGAGAGAGATGCAGAAGTTTATTTACAGCTCACCACAATTTAAACTTGTGGTTTTTGTTTAAAGTTTGATAGTTTTCAATAGTCTGTCATTAAGTAACTAATTCACAATATTTCTGGTTGCTTGCATCCTGAACTAGTAGTACCTTGAAGTGTTGAAGGCAGGTTATTCTATAAGCAGAAGGCGGTGTCTCACGGTTCTAAACACAAAACCTTCTTGCCAGTGAATGTGTTGACTTGCCCAAAGTCTCTTCAATACCATTTTTTAGAATAGAAAACTTGAGCTGAAATTTGTTTTATACTGATGGTGATGTTTGCATAGTGCATCTACTGCACCTCTACTTTTGGCTTGTATTAATATATAACATGTAATGTATCAACTTAATATAACTCTTTTTATTTTAGGTTGAGTATCAGTTAGGATCTGGAGGCCAACTTCTTCCACAGCATTATCTAAATGACCTGGACAGTGCTCTGATTCCTGTGATCCATGGTGGGACATCAGACCCCACAAGTTTACCATTGGAAATGGAATTAATATTTTTTCTTACAGAATACCTCTTTTAATATAAATGACAGCATATATTATACTATGTATAATCTGATTTGCTAGAACTAACCCAACACCAAAGCTGTAATGCTACCAACACTAAAAAAATGTTGAGATTTATTTTAAAAAAAATTGTTTAGTAATAGATTTTTAAACTGGGTTTTGTTTCTAAAAAAATGAACCAACTCTCCTCCATCTCCAGCATAAAAGAAGAATTGTTGAGTTTAAGATTTCCTAAGGTTCCGAAACTTTACACTTAATACAGTCACTGAAAAAAGGCAAGGGACTCATTACCTCTAAGCAAACTGTAGCATTTACTATGTGCATTGTAAGGTTAAGCCATATACCTCTTAAACCCAAGCAAATATTTTAGTAACCGTCTTTATGATTAGATGTAACCTAAATCTGGGACACTCCATGTGGATGTGCAAATGGGCTATATTTACATTTTTAAAAAATCTTATAAAGTATATTTAATTGGTACAGAACTGTTGCTTGCTATCGAGATCCAAATATAAAATCTCTGAGGGTTGGCTGCAAACAACAGATACGGTGTACTAATAATATATGGAATTTGCCTGCACAATCGGATATTGCTTGTGTGGGAAGAATAGAGAACAAAACTTTGCCAGGTATGTTGTGGGTTTTGGGGATTTTTTTAAGATTTCATAATTGGACTTGTCCTGACTTAAAAATCAAGACATTTGACATGTTTGTTGGTGCTTTTGGAACTTGTGCTTTTAAACTGAGTCTCTTTATAGTGTAGCTGATTTCCTTATGTATTTATAATGACTTATCTAACTTTGTTGGGTATCATTTTTGTATTACACTAATTGTTTTCCCTCCCTGTGATTAAATATACCTTTGTAATTTGAGACTTCCAAGAGTGATTAAGAACAGGCCAGATGACCCTTAAAGTAGTAATCATGTAGCAATAAGTCAGGCATGAAACCTGTAATATCTTTTCTGCTCCCATCTCTAACTTCTGAGACCTCTTGGTAGCCCTGTTTATTTTTCAGGGAGAAAATGTATTAAGTGTGAATTTTCATGATCAGATTGCTTTGGCATATTTGAGGTTCTTTGTATAGTACATATTTTTGATACTGGGGTATTAGCAATTAAGAACTAAGATGATGCTTGTAATTTGTGCCTGAGTACTGAGGTTCAGTGAACACCAATCAGGTATGATAACTATTGCATAACGTACCTGTTCACTTTGAAGAGAATCAGAACACGCTATGTCCAAGACCAAATCATTTGAGTAAAATGTTGTTAGAGTTTTAGACTGACAGATCATTAAAAATTTAAACATCTAGATGCCTTCTTGATTCTCATAGGAGATATTTATATGGTTTTTGTATCAAAAACGCAACTAGTAACTTAAAAAAATAATAAAATAAAAATGTCACCAGCCCTATTACCCACAGCTTGAAGACCCATATTAATGGAAAGGTTCAGGATTTAAGGTCTTAGGCTAGAAGAAACTAGGTATTTCATTATAGTAATGCACACACTTTTTGTTCAGAGATAAATTGCAGTTCTCTGGACCAGCCAAAGACATTAACATAGGCAGCGTGAACAAGATGAATGTCCAGCCTTCTGAAAGTAGTTAACAAGAGGACAGCAGGGACAAGCAGTGTTTGAAACATGAACAATAGTCAACTGACCATTGTCATGTCCTTTGTCAATGTTAAGTACAGTTATAGCAGATGAAAGCAATTTGCAGACTAATTTTGTCTTTTTTGTTGCCATATTGGTTATTGGAAATTAGACTCGTCTTAAACTCTTGCCATTTAATGTTTCAATTTCATTTAATAATTATCACTAACAAATAAAACTGACTTAAGTGCTTACCAGATGAGATAAAATAACATTGTTCTTCTGTTAAAAACAAAAAACATATATTTGACAAACATTTCCTATATTTTCTCAGTTTTTTCTGTCTTCAAAGTTTCTCTTTGCTTAGTTCTGCTATTGCACTTGGAGCGTAGACTGCTCTTAACAAAGGAATTGCTGTGTTTATTTCCAAATACAGCTGTAGACAATAGCCTGTAACTTACCAACAAATAAATGGACCAGCATGAAATGTTTCATAGGCCTGATCTACACTGTAGGGGGGAAGAATCAATCTAAGTTACGCAACTTCAGCTACTTGAATAACGTAGCTGAAGTTGACATACTTAGATCTACTCACCGTGGTGTCTTCACTGCGGTGAGTCGACTGCTGCTGCTCCCCCTTCGACTCCGCCTGCACCTCTCGCAGTGGTGGAGTACAGGAGTCAATGGGAGAGTGCTCGGGGATTGATTTATCACGTCTAGACTAGACGTGATAAATCGACCCCCGCTGGATCGATCACTGCCCACTGATCCGGCGGGTAGTGTAGACATACCCATAGTAACTTTCCTGGTTTGGAAGACAACCACATGAGTGGCTCCTGGCCAAAAACTGAGGCTCTTTTAAGAGAGGTGCAGTAGTATAATCAGTGATGGACATAAAAGAATGGAGCAGAGAGGGCCTCGTGCACTCCAACATCAGGTTAATCAGTCTATGCTTTAATTTTTTTAGTTTTTAGCCCTAATGCCTATGAAAAACACCCTATTAAATGTGAACTGAATACAAACTGAAGCTCTGCACAGTCTACTGGAGACTGAGAGTGTGGACTCCCCTTCCCTCAACTATCCAACAAAACATCCCTTTATCTTAATTGTGTGTCAACGTAGGCTGTTGCTGCAGGATGGGGAAAGTATCATTAACAATTTATCATCAGTCTCCTTCACATGTAAACTTGCACCAAAATAACAGATACAAATAAAACCCAACTTAATTATTTTGCATCTGTGTGGGGACAATCCACAGACATACACCAAAATAACTAAGGCCTGGTCTATGCTAGAAAGTTATATTGACATAAGTCCCCTTGCATCAACCTAGCTGTATGTGTCTCTACACTGAAATTTTTCTTTGGCCAATGTGAGCACCCCATTAGAGTGACGCAGTAACACCACCTTCCCAAATAGTGTTGAGCCATGGTTGACCTACTGAGGTCGACACAGTGCAAATGTAGACACTGTGTGATCTCTTTCAACCTCAACAGTATTCCAGCAGCTATCTTACTGTTGACTGTCTCACAGTTGTGAACTCCAGTGCCCAGGGGGGTCAGAAACCAGAAGCCAAGCCTCCTCTTCAAAAATCTTCTGTATTTTGAAAAGCCTTTTCCTGATTGCCCAGCTTGGAGAGCACACCTAGCAGCTCTTCCTTGTGCGCAAGTGCTCAACTGACTAGGCTGGCTCAATGCTTTAGATGCATTCCTGCTTGGAGCAGATGGGAGGTATTGGATCTCCTGGGCCTATGGGGAGAAGAGACTGTGCAGGCACAGATAGGGAATTGTCATAGAAACATGGACATTTACTAAAAGATTTCACAGGGGAAGCAGGTCAGGGGGTACAATGGGGAACAGCAGCGGGCATACTACAAGGCCAAAAAGGCCAACAGTCTATCTGCTGCCAAGTCACAGACCTGCCAATTTTTACAACAAGCTGCATGTCATACTTGACGAGACCCCACCAGCACCCTGCAGACCACTGTAGATCCCTCTGAGGAGCTGGAGACAGAGACCCCTGTAGTTAACAGCAAGCAGGAAGAAGAGGATGGGGGACCTGCAGCAGGGTGAGGGTCCAACTATGCCTATGCTGTGAGCCAAGACCTAGTTGAGACTCCACCAGTCTAGCCAGTCCCACCAGCCAAGCACAGACAAGCCCCGCGCAGTGGAAGGAACCTTGGGTAAGCGTATGCGTGCATTTTTCCTCGTGGTGTTTAAATGTACATATAGTGCTTGGCCACACTCCAACTTAGCAGGACACGGGTATAGACTTTTCATTTTATTTGTACTAGACAAGGTAGCAATACAACAAAGGGGGTAAAGTTGGTATCCGCCTGTCATTCCCGTCGAATTTGAGGGATGGGAGGTGTGGAGCAGTTTGTTCACGTACACAGGCTGTGTCTTGTATCCTGAGTGATCTTGATAAAACTTTCATTGGAGGTACTCTGCAGTCCTCTCCTGACAGTTTCTAGGGATGACAGCCTTGTTTCTAACTCTGTGGAAGGATACTTTCCTACCTCACTCTGTGATGACTTTGGCAGGCACTGTTGCAGTAAACAGGCTAGCAGCATACAGGCCCTGGTGGCTTTGTGATGCCACAGCCACTGTGCTACCAGTGCCTTTTTTAAACTCAGGAGTGAGAGATTTGTTAAAATCGCTGCCTCCTGTGGAAAATAGTGCCATTACCCTGTATTCATACTCATGGAAATAAAGGCTGAAATTCTGTTTTATGCAACAGAACAACTCTCTCTTCATTCCTCCTCCCACCCCTGTTCTGGCTGGGTCATTAGTCATGGCTGGGGCTGGACAACGGAGAACTGTGATGTGCAGGGGTGCTCCAAAGCTATCGTGTCAATAAGCATGTCTTATTTAAAATGCTTATAGGAGTAAGGAAAGGGAGTTGTGAAATTTAGCTTTCACTTTTATAGTCACAAAGGAAAGTGATACATCAGTGTGTGTATCATCTGTAGCTACTGTTGTTGCAGCCTTGAGGGGTGCCCCTCCACTTGCTTGCAATGCCAGACCCTAAGGAGGAGAAAGAAGAGGGTATGTTCAGTGCGATCCTGCAAGCCAGTGCTGTATTGGATTGTGAACAGACGACCTAGAGGGTTAATGTAGCAGCCAACATGAAGAAGGCAAGTAAATGCATGGTGGTGGATGCCTTTGTAAATTGAAGAAGGAGCAGTAAGTCAGCGGGAAGTGTCCTCTGGGCCTGAGCCAGTCCACAGGCTGGGGCTATACATTTGACATCTCTGAATTAAGGCATATTCAGAAACAGTCAGTCTCCATGTAAATACCAAGTGATGGAAAAAACTTCATCTCTTGCTAAATTGTTCCAATGATTAATTATCCTCTGTTAAAAATTTGCACTTTATTTCCAGTTTTACTTTATTGAGCTTTGACTTCCAGCCATTGAATTCTATTATTGTACTTAAGTTTTGGGAGCTGAAACTGTTCCTTGTTAAAGGCTCTTCAGCTGCAGCATGTTATAAAATCAAGATGAATTTCCAAAAAATATAAATTTATTGCATACCAAAACCAGTAAAGAAACGATGTGCAAGTTAAAAATGAAGACAATAAAACAAATTAACAGAATTTTACAAGGGGAAAGAACATTCATGTCCATTTCAATCCACTTTGGTTACACACACTGACCTGTGAGAGCCATAACTGCTGAATATGTGAAACCTTCTGCCCCCAATCCATGCTACCTTTTCAGTCTGTAAAGTTCTAGACCAGGTTCCAAAGTTCCCATCTCAGTCAGAGGGTTCTGCATGGGCATCACGTCAAGTGGAGCACCCATAGGGACACTACTCAAATGAAGAGAGGTTGGTTACCTTGTACTGTAATTTTTTTTGAGATTTGTGTTCCTATGAGTGCTCCACTACCTGCCCTCCTTTCCCTCTGCTTCAGAATTTAGTCTCCATGGGACTGTGTAGTAGAGAAGGAACTGAGGCTGGTTATCTGTTGTAGCCCTATGTATCCTCAGTATGAGTCACAAGAATTGCTAAAGCACCTGTGCCGACTGAATGACTGCTGCTGAAAATCACCATTTGAAGGCTCATATACACCACCCTGGGGACACACCTCTGAAAATATTCCAGTTACTGCCCAAGGTTAGTAACCTTTCCATAGGTATTGTTCCTCAACTTTTCTAGAAAGTTGTTTCATAGAGAGAACTAACTAATAGAAGTGATGGCTTCTGTGAGAAACAAAAATATAACTAATTTGTCTTTGCAGACAACTTTCCTAACAAAGAAATGTCCATCTATGGCATGGTCAGAATAGGATTTGGATAGATAAGTTACCCTAGAGAAATGAGTTTTGATTTGGAAAAGAGGACCAGCAACCTCATCTACTGCATGATGAACGCACATTTAATATAGTGTTTCAGTAATACCTCATGCAGGTCACATTAGAAAACAGATTGAATGGGGATAAATATTGGAGATATTGTGAAAGAGGTAGTTTTATTCATCTGATGGACATGTCCAGTCTGCCTACTAGGGTGCAATTTATAATCAAATTTTACAAATGGTTGGATATTTATTACCACATGCTCCAGGGGCTTCCTTGTGGAAATGATCCCTTTCAAAGAAATTAATTACTCTTCTCTACTACTGAAGGCCTTTCACAGGCAAAAGCAAAATTGTTCAAAAAACTCAAGGAATGGTTCCAACAAAATTAGGAAGTTACAGAAAAAATAATGCATCAATTATGTACCCAACACAAGGAGATGCTTTGGTTACTATTTATTCAATAATCAAAATACACATGTCCACAACAGTACATCTGTCCAATTTCTTGAATATTAATGTTTGATAAGTTATAAATTTTACTCCTTTTAATAATTGCACCAGAAACATCTAGTCTCACACCTTACACAGAGCTTTGATTATATTCCTGCATGTTTCTTTACACTAAAGCGTTCGCTATAATTGTTTTACTTCTGTTTACATGATGTTTTGTAAAGGTGTTAACACTCCCTAATATAAAAAGCCTGTGCCACTTCACACAGCTCCGTTACTGCTGGCATTCATCTTAGTTTTGCCAATGAGAAGAGTGGAAGGTGGTTTCCCATTTATTATGCTGCAGTTTGGGCATTAAACCAGGCTCTGTACTGCGTGTTTAAAAATGGAAAAGTACGTATAAAAGCTGTGTCGGGTCGAGCAGTGGCCCCCTTTTAACAGAATTCTAGGCTCAGGGCTCGTGCCCCGTAACCGTTTTCTAACAAGTGTAAGGGCTGGAGCAGGCAGCGGTACCTCTACCCGGCCCTAGCCCGAAGGGGACACTCCCCTCGGAAGGGGACAGGGCCGATCACTAAACGCTGGACAGTAATGCGGCCCCACAGCCCCCTGCGGTGACGTGCGTAGCGATGGCAGCACGCGCTCGGTTTATGCTGAACCGTTAACATCGCCCCTGAATTGCCGTTTCGGGGGGGGGGGGCCTGGGGTATTAATCCGTCCTCCTGCCCCACCACCCTGCTGCCATTGGCCTGCCGCAGCCGCCGGCGGGGTCTCACCGCACCGCGCGGCTGCGTGTCCGGGATGGGCGGGCCGCGATGTGCCCTGAGCAGGGTTCCGGCCCTGGCACCTGGGAAGGACGCAGCAAGACCCGCTTCTTCCGCGAGGGAAGACGGGTCCCTCGGCAGCAGCTCCAGGGCGTCCCGCCCGTGAAGACAGTCACGAGGTGCAGTGCTGCCCTACAAGAGCAACCGTTGTTCGCTGGTCCGGCAGCAAACCCGGCTCCTTGCGCCCCGAGTCCCAGGCTGAATCGAGTCCCGGCCGCAGGAGGCGGGGCTAAGCCAGCAGGACCCAGGCGCCTGCGCCCGGCCATGGAGGGGGAGCTCGGTAAGAGCCGGGTGCCCCCCGCTGGGCAGGCCGCTGTATCGGGGGCTGCGGTGAACCACCCGCTGCTCGGCTCAGCCCGAGGGCGAGGAGGCTTGGCTGGGGGTGGGGCGAGGGAGTGGTGCAGCCGCCAGAGGCACCGTCTGAGCCCAGCCCTGCGCCGTACCTGCCCTCCCAGACGCCCAGTCACACGGCCCCGACCCGCTGAGGTGTCGTCAGCGCCGGTGCCCAGCCCCTCGGCGCTCGCTGCGTACGTTGCTCTGGGGGGCGGTGGTAACCAACCCCCTTCCTGAGCCTCCTGGAGGCGGCAGACTTAGGGGCGGGCAAGAGGCTCTGCCTAGAGGCGCTGGCTGCGGGCGGGCGCCTGGCCGGTAGGACGCAAGTTGCAGAGCGGCAGGGCAGAAAACCGACCCCCAGACTAAATGACGGGGAAAACCCGCCGGAACCGGAGAATATAAGTGAGGGGAGAGAGACTTAGAATTTCTGCTTCGTGACATGACGTCATGTCGGCGGCGGGGCATAGTTAAAAAACCCGCGGGCCGCGTTAGAGGGGCGGAAACGTTCCTGTGTCTTCCATGGGTTGTCTTGTCCCAGGGAGCCGTGAGCTGTCCCTTAGCTCCCTACGTCGACCTCTCTACTCCGCGCCTCAGACCCCAGCTAAAAGCCTGCTGTCCTCTGCTGCTAGGGAGCTTCCTGTCTGTGGGAGTCCACGAGCATAGATCCTGGAGTATGAGAGGGCTCCTGATAATTTTCCTTATAGTTCCTAGGACTTGGCATGCTCCTGGCAGGCCCTATATGGCTATCCTTCTAAGGATTTTAAAAGGTGTATGTTAATGAAGCTCTGCTCCAGCCAGCCTCAAGAAGGGGAAAACGCTCCCCCCTCCCCAGTTTTCTTTGCTCCCCATTTCCATGCTAAAGAAATTTTCTTACTGAATTTTTGTGGAGGTGAAGTGAAGTTGCAGGTAACTGGGCAGTGTGAGCTGGCTTACTTTGCACAAATATTGAGTTCTGAAGAAAATATAAATTCAGGAACTGCAGCATTAAGATTGCAGTTCTCAAACAAGGCACCCAAACTATCTGATCCATCTGTAACAGTCCAATTTTATTAGTGATCAGAAAAACTAAAATGTCTTAATAGTACAATGGTGTGCTGCTTTACAGCCTTGTTTACACAGGACACAGAAGGATTCTATGAATTCCTGCTTGAGGCAGAATGCACTGAATACAGGCAGTCATGTCTCTTTCCTCATTAAGAGTAGAGCCCTATAATAGTCAGCCAATTATCCAAGTGTCATTAGACAAAGTTAGCATGTTACTTTCACAGACATCATCCCCCAATCATATTAGAACAGTTTAGTGAAAAAAACATCAGCTAGTGTGCTGGCAAATCATCACACTTGGTATCTAAGATCTATATATGTAGACCCCTGCATAAAATTTGTATCTGCATCTGCAAAAATAATCCATGGATATAAAGCAGATATCCACAGATTTGTGGGGCTCTAGATACAAAATTTGTGTCTGCATCTGATCCACAAAAGTGGTCTGTGGATATAAAATGGATATCCATGATTTGCAGGGCTCTATATATATGAAACAAATTCTAAAATGAGCATTCTTTGTTGCAGTTTTGATAGTAGATATACATCAGGAAGCTGGTGGGCTGGTATATCCAGGTGGCAAAATGAAAATAGTTTTGGTGCCTTATTTGAGAAATGCAACTAAACTCTACATCAGGTGATTTGTTGTTTTTAAAAACTCTCACTCTTGGAAGATAATATGCCCTCAGATTGGGAGACTGCACCCTTAACTTAATTTGAAAAGAGTTATCTGTGTTTATCAGATTTTTGTTTCCTGCTGAATCAACAGGGAATTTGTATGGGAAGTAGAGCCCTGTATGGGATTAGTGAGCCCTGCAGTGGGACCCTCTGGCATAACAGTGGGAGTGGGATTAAAAATAGTCCCAAGCAGAGGTCTAATGGGAAGTACATTGTAACAATGGGACAACGATCAGAATTTACTACCTGATGCTTCTAGGGTGATGCTAGAAGAATAGATTAACACAGTTCAGGTGAGTGAAAGAAAGATGCCATAATGGTGAGGGTCATAAGGGCAACTGAAGCACCTATAAAACCAGTTACACGTAAAATCTCTGTAGTACGGAACCTATTATGCCATCATTTTCCTGCCAACGGGTTGAGAGGAATGTGCCCTCTACAGAAAGCAGAAGAAGAGACAACAACAGATGAGAGAGGATTATAGAATTATGGATAAATGGGAATTTGGGTTTCAATAGCAATCTTTTCCGCTCAATCTCTCTTCCCCCTCCCCTCCCTCCCCCCCGTATATTTTAGCTCCTCTCTCACTTCCTCCCTGTAACAAACTGGCAGTGTTTACTGAAACACCTTGTCACAGTTCAGGGCAACTTGTGTTTCTTCTTCGAGTGCTTGCTCATATCCATTCCAGTTAGGTGTGTGCGCGCCGCGTGCACGATCGTCGGAAGATTTTTACCCTAGCAACACCCGGTGGGTCGGCTGTGGAGCCCCCTAGAGTGGCGCCGTTATGGCGCTGGATATATACCCCAGCCGACCCAGCGCCCCCTCAGTTCCTTCTTACCGCCCCTGACGGTCGTTGGAACTGTGGAGCGCGGCTTAGCTGATCTCCACACTCCCTAGCTTCTCATTGCTCTCCTTATAGTTAGTTATATAGATAGTTGTTCAAGTTAGTTAGTTAGTTAGTGTATAGTGTATATATATAGTTGTATATTGTTATCGGGGGTTTAGGGGGTGTTTTTCCCCTTTTCCCCCCGGCGCACAGCCGGGCCCATGCCCAAGGCTCCTGGCTTTAAGCCGTGCGCGTCCTGCCGGAAGCATATGCCAACCAGCGACCCGCATAGTTCTTGCTTGAAGTGCCTTGGAGAGGCTCATCCAGCAGATAAGTGCCCTATTTGCAAGGCCTTCAAGCCAAGGACAAGAAAGGAGCGGGACTTTAGACTCCGTCAGCTCCTGATGGAGCCGGCTCTGAGTCCGGATCCTCCCTCGGCGCGCCCTGTCCCGGCACCGAGCGCTTCGGTGCGCAGCGCCCCGGCGGGCCCAACCGGTGCGGCGGAAAAGACTGCTCGGCACCGACCGACGTCGGCACCACGCCCGCCTAAAGAACCTCGGCGCCGATCCCTTTCTCCGGGCCATAAGAAGGCCGGCAAGGCGCGGGACGTTGCTGCCGCGAAGATACCGGCTCCCCCGGTGCCGGGGGTAGAGCCGCGTCCGCAGTTGGACCGCCAAAGACAGGCGGCCACACCGTCGACTCCGGCACCGAGGCCGTTGAGTCCGGTGCGGACTGTTTCACCACCAAGGCTGGTGGTGGAACCTTGTCTCCCTTCCACCCCGGAGACCTTCGCTACGGCGAGAGACTTGATCGCCCTCACGGAGCCGGCGCCGTCACAACTCCCGGCACCGGTGGCTCCACGCGTCCTGCAGTCCAGGGGGAAAACCTGCCCTGGTGCGCCCACCGTCGCCAGCACGAGTCTCTCGGCACCGCTCCAGATCCCGGAGTAGGTCCCGACGCCGCTCTGAGTCCCGGCGCCGAATATCACCTCGGCACCGGTCGTACTCGCGGCCCAGATCCTCTTCGCGGCGCCGTTCAACATCCCGGCACCGTCGAGACGACCGGCACCGATCGGGCTCGAGACGCAGCTCCCGGCACCGGTATGAGCGCCACTCGGGCTCGAGAGGCCGCTCCCGGTACCACGCCTCCTCCAGATCGTCGTCCCGTTCCAGGTCGGGATCCCGGCACCGGAGGGACTACCGGCACCGCTCCAGATCCCGGCACCGCTCTCCGGCACCGCACAGGGGCAGATCGCCTTACGACCGGCACCGATCGGCACCGTACCATCCGGTACCGACGGCGTCGGGTTCGGCACCGCCGTGGCCGTCGAGATCGGCGTCGCGATCATCTGAGGCAGTGGAGGCCGGCCACCTGCAGGAGACCGACGACCCTATGCAAGGGCCTGCGCATTGGTCCTTCTGGACTCCTTGGGCCTACCATCAGGCACAAGGAGCTCCGCTATCTGCCTCCCGCTCGGGCCGTTCGGAGCCTAGGGCCCCAGAGTCCACCATCTCCCGCCCTCCTCCAAGGGATGTGGAGGCGCCAGCGCCCGCACCAGCAGAGGCCCTGGACCTGGGGGCAGGCGATGCCCAACTCCAGGAACACCTGGAGCAGGACCAACCATTGGACCCCTTGCCACCGGGGGCATCCTCCTCGTCCTCGCCTGATGAGGCCGTAGCGGGCACATCCGCCATTGGGCCACCTCCCATAGACCTTCGGGCCCACCAGGACCTGCTGCGCCGCATGGCTCGCAATATGGACCTCCAGGTGGAGGAGATTGCGGAGGTCCATGATCCCATCGTGCAGATCATTTCAGCGGATGCTCCATCCAGGGTGGCATTACCGCTGATCCGCACGATCCAGGCGAACGCCACCACCATCTGGCAGACCCCGGCCTCTATTCCGCCCACGGCCAGAGGGGTTGAGAGGAAGTACTTTGTGCCCTCCAAGGAACATGAGTACTTGTACACTCACCCCCAACCGTGCTCACTGGTGGTTTCATCAGTCAATGCACGGGAGCACCATGGCCAGCAGGCCGCTGCGCCCAAATCGAAGGACGCTAAGCGCTTCGATTTGTTCAGACGCAAGGTCTATTCGGCTGGCGGACTGCAACTGCGGGCAGCGAACCAGCAGGCGCTCCTGAGCCGCTATGGATTTAATATGTGGTCCTCGATGGGGAAATTTAGAGAGCTGGTTCCCCAGGAATCGAGGGAGGAGTTCGGGGCCTTGGTAGAGGAGGGCAAGCGGGTGGCATGCACCTCTCTGCAGGCGTCCCTTGATATAGCGGACTCGGCCGCTAGGACCCTGGCGTCGGGGATAGCAATGCGCCGAATCTCCTGGCTCCAGGTGTCAGGCTCGCCACCTGAACTGCAGCAGACCCTGCAGGATCTACCGTTTGAGGGCCAGGGCCTCTTTTCGGAGAAAACAGACTCGAGGCTCCAAAATCTTAAAGACTCTCGGACAATGATGCGCTCCCTGGGGATGCATGTCCCAGGGCCGCAGCGCAGACCCTTCAGGCCCCAGCCTCAGCGGTTCTACCCTCCCCCGCCTCGTCCAAGACAGGACTTTGCTAGGAGGCGGGGTCGAGGTGGTAGGCGAAGGTCGACCGGCCCTCAACCCGGTCAGAACCAGGGCCTGCCTAGACCACCTTCAGGGCCTAGGCAAACCTTTTGAAGGTGCGGTTGAGGACGGCACCACGACCGGTACCCAGGATCCAACTCCCCCCTTCCGGGATCGCCTCTCCCGCTTCCACCGCGCTTGGTCCCGTATAACCTCGGACCGTTGGGTCCTTCGCACGGTGGAGAGGGGATACGCCCTCCAATTTTCCTCGCCCCCCCCCCCCCCCTCCCCCTCCCCGTCCCTCTTCAGGGACCCTTCTCACGAGCAACTCCTTACACAGGAGGTTTTTGGGCTCCTCGCTATGGGGGCCATAGAGGAGGTTCCATCGGAGCTAAGGGGCAGGGGGTTTTACTCCCACTACTTCCTGATACCCAAGTCAAAAGGGGGTCTACGGCCCATCTTAGACTTGCGCGGACTCAACAAATTCATAGTAAAGTTGAAGTTCCGCATGGTGTCATTGGGGACCATCATCCCTTCACTGGATCCTGGAGACTGGTTCGCCGCCCTCGACATGAAGGACGCTTATTTCCACATAGCAATTTATCCGCCCCACAGACGTTTCCTGCGATTTGTGGTAAACAGGGTGCACTACCAATTCGCAGTCCTTCCCTTCGGCTTGTCCTCGGCTCCCAGGGTGTTCACAAAGTGCCTGGCAGTCGTCGCGGCCTTCCTTCGTCGACAAGGGATACAGCTGTTCCCGTACTTGGACGACTGGCTGGTACGCGGCCGCACCAAAGACCAAGTGCAGGCTCATGTCCGCATAGTGACAAACACTTTCCACGAGCTGGGCATTCTACTCAACAGAGAGAAGTCCACTCTAGTACCAACTCAGAGGATAGAGTTCATTGGAGCAATCCTGGACTCCAGACGTGCCCGAGCCATACTGCCAGACAGCCGATTCCTTACCATCTCAAGCGTCATTCAAGGTCTCAGGGCCTTTCCAATTACCACCATAAGAACATGCCTTGTCCTTTTGGGCCACATGGCCTCGTGTACATACGTAACCAGGCACGCCAGACTGCGACTTCGCCCACTGCAGGCTTGGGTGTCATCGGTCTACCGTCCTCATCGAGACGACCTGAACATGGTGGCCACGGTTCCGGCCTCGGTCTTGGCCTCTCTTGCCTGGTGGACGGATCGCGCAGCGGTCTGTGCAGGAGTGCCCTTTCACGCCCCACAGCCCTCCCTCCACCTAGTTACGGACGCTTCATCTCTAGGCTGGGACGCTCACCTGGGGGAGCACCATACCCAAGGCCTGTGGTCCGCGTCCCAACTAGCCCTGCACATCAACGTCCGAGAGCTGATGGCGGTGCGCCTGGCTTGTCAGGCTTTCCTCAACTTCCTACAGGGCCGTTGCGTGCTGATTCTCACCGACAACACCACGGCCATGTTTTACATCAACAAGCAAGGCGGAGCTCGCTCATCTCCCCTATGCCAAGAGGCCATTCGCCTGTGGGACTTCTGCATCGCCCACTCGATTCATCTCACGGCGTCATTCCTGCCTGGAGTCCAGAATACGCTGGCGGACCGTCTCAGCAGGTCCTTCCAGACGCACGAGTGGTCGATTCGCCTGGACATCATCTATTCCGTCTTCCAAAGGTGGGGGTTTCCCCAGATCGACCTGTTCGCATCTCGGGCCAACAGGAAGTGCCAGGCATTCTGCTCCCTACACGGGCGAGCCCCGGGCTCTCGGTCAGACGCCTTCCTCATGGCATGGAAAGACCATCTGTTCTACGCCTTTCCTCCATTCCCGCTGGTCCACAGGGTGCTGCTCAAGATCCGCAGGGACCATGCACGGGTAATTCTAGTCGCTCCCGCTTGGCCGAGACAACACTGGTACACCACTCTGCTGGAACTGTCAGTACAGAGACCGATCACGCTCCCCTTGAGTCCGGATCTCATCTCTCAGGACCACGGCCGGCTGTATCACCCCGACCTGCAGTCGCTCCACCTCACGGCGTGGATGCTTCATGGTTGAGTCGCTCAGAGCGGCAATGTTCGCAGGCCGTCCAACAGGTCCTGCTGGGAAGTAGAAAGCCCTCTACGCGGACCACTTATTTAGCCAAGTGGAAGAGGTTCTCCTGTTGGTGTGAGCAACGAGCTACGTCTCCCTCGCAGGCTCCTATCCCCTTGATACTGGAGTACCTCCTGTCCCTAAGACAGCAAGGCTTGGCGACATCCTCAATCAAGGTTCACCTCGCCGCTATTTCCGCTTTCCACCCAGGAGAACTCACGTCCTCGGTCTTCTCTAACCCGATGGTCGTTAGATTCCTCAAGGGCTTAGACCGGCTGTACCCACAGCAACGACAACCGGTTCCGACGTGGAACCTCAACCTCGTCCTCTCCAGGCTCACAGGGCCTCCGTTTGAACCATTGGCGACCTGCTCACTCCTGTACTTATCCTGGAAGACAGCCTTCCTCGTAGCCATCACCTCAGCACGACGCGTCTCGGAACTCAGGGCGCTGACATCCGAGCCCCCTTATACGGTGTTCCACAAGGACAAGGTGCAGCTTCGCCCCCATCCTGCCTTTCTTCCGAAGGTGGTATCACCTTTCCACGTAAACCAAGATATATTTCTCCCGGTCTTCCATCCGAAACCGCACGCTACTCGTCAAGACCAGCGTTTACATTCTTTGGACGTTGGCAGGGCCCTGGCTTTCTATATTGACCGGACAAAGCCATTTAGGAAAACGACGCAACTCTTCGTTGCGGTGGCCGACCGGATGAAAGGATCACCGGTCTCTTCACAGTGCCTGTCCTCTTGGATTACGTCCTGCATTCGTGCTTGCTACGACCTGGCCGGTGTACCAAAGCCACACCTCACTGCTCATTCCACGAGGGCCCAGGCCTCCTCGACTGCCTTCCTGGCTCAAGTACCGATCCAGGACATTTGTAGAGCTGCAGTGTGGTCATCGGTCCACACATTTGCTACTCACTATGCGCTGGTGCAACAATCCAGAGACGATGCTGCTTTCGGGTCAGCGGTTCTGCACACAGCAATGTCTCACTCCGACCCCGCCACCTAGGTGGGGCTTGGGAGTCACCTAACTGGAATGGATATGAGCAAGCACTCGAAGAAGAAAAGACGGTTACTCACCGTTGTAACTGTTGTTCTTCGAGATGTGTTGCTCATATCCATTCCAAACCCGCCCCCCTTCCCCACTGTCGGAGTAGCCGGCAAGAAGGAACTGAGGGGGCGCTGGGTCGGCTGGGGTATATATCCAGCGCCATAACGGCGCCACTCTAGGGGGCTCCACAGCCGACCCACCGGGTGTTGCTAGGGTAAAAATCTTCCGACGATCGTGCACGCGGCGCGCACACACCTAACTGGAATGGATATGAGCAACACATCTCGAAGAACAACAGTTACAACGGTGAGTAACCGTCTTTTCCCCTTAGTGGTTCAGCAAGGGCACCTATTCTTAGGCTTCTAGCTCCCTAGCTGTTGCCTTTCTTGGGTGGAAACCTGCATCTCTCTCCCTCCTGACCAGGATATGGCACAGTTCCCGGACTATACTGTGATTTTCCCAGTGAAAGACAGACTGCATAAGTAAGTCTGCCTCACTTCTCAGAGATGGTACAGTAATGTGATTGTCACAGTCATAAGTAAGGCTCCGTGTTTGTCACAGATTCCGTGACCTCCGTGATTTCTGCAGTGGCCCGTGTGGCTGGCCCAGGAGCCACCTGAGCAGCTTGAGCACCCCCTGGGCCAGTTGCACCAGCTGCTGCTGGGGCAGTCTGGGGGCCCCCCCCCACCTCCCAGAAGCAGGAGTTTGGGGCTCAGGGCTGGGGATAGGGGTACAGGGTGGTGCTTACCTGGGGGGCTCCCCAGAAGGGCGACAGGAACGCCCCTTCCTCAGCTCCTAGCTCCATGTGCTGCCTCTGCCTGCAGTTCCCAGCCAATGAGAGCTGCAGAACTGGGGCATGGGGTGGAGCGGAGGCAGCACATGGAGCTAGCAGCTGGAGGTCACTGCTTCCCAGGAGCCGGGTAGGGAGCCTGCTGCAGCCCCCCCCCCGAGCACCCAAGGAGGGTGGAGGATGTTTCTCTGGAGCTGTTACAATCTGAATGAATTTGCTTGATCATCCCCTACTGTTATCCTATATACCGTTCTGTGGAAATACATACAATCCCTCAGTAACACACAGACAATAGCATTTCTAATACGATGGACTCCCAAGATATTAAACTCAATTAAATAAGGTTTGTCCAAGATGTCACACACCCACTCTGTTTGTTAGTAGCTGCTAATCCTGCTAATTTATTGAGCAGAGTTAGCAAGTTACGTGCTACTTCACTGTTTATAAGAGCAGTGCAAATTACACCATGAAACGGGCGTAGCCAGGTGGAGGGAACGGGGAGCGATCAAAAAAAAAAAAAGGCGCCACCCGCTGCGGTGCTTTTACTCACCCGGCGGCGCTCCGGGTCTTCAGCGGCACTGAAGGACCCACCGCTGAAATGCCACCGAAGACCCACGGAGCAAGGGAAGGTCCCGCGGCCGAAGGGCCGCCGGGTGAGTAAAACCGCCCCAGCTGGGGACGCCTTTTTTTTTTTTTTTTTTTTGATTGCTCTCCCTGCTCCCTCCGGGTGAGTAAAAATTAAAAAGGCTCCAAGAAATTGACAAGGCGTCACTTGTGCTTAGTGGGGGAGCGGCCGCTGCCCTGCTCCCCCCCCCCCCCCCAGCTACGCTACTGCCATGAAAAGAGAAGATTAAAGGTGAGGACTGAATAGTCTTTTGGGAGGAACCTTAGGAAGAGCCAAGACCAGGAGAAGGTTTTTATCTTATTTTCTTTGCTAGTAAACTAAATCCCCAGGAAGAAGTTGAATTTGGACTTCATGTAGTGTGTGGATTGTGTTCTTTACAGCAGGATTGGAAAGGCATCTGCTTATTCTCTTGTCTGATGTCTTTCTTCCTTTTCCAGTTGCAATGGTAAGAAAATATTTAAAACTTTTCTTCATATATGCAGTATACTTACTTTAAATATTATTGACATAGGAACTTGGAGTGGAAATGTATTGGATTATTTTCTGAACACTAACCAGATTAAAACCAGAGATGGAGCAGAAATTATCTGGTATCATGCAGCAAACAATAAATCACAAATGAAAGAGGCAATACAAAGTAAGTATTGTATGTGTATTTTGGAAAACGAATCTATCAATATCATTGTTTTCACATAAAATATTTTTATGATGCTATAATCTTAGTTTGGTGACATAACATAGAATATAATGTTGCAGTGTCCAAAGTTAAGATGTAATTAAATTCCATTTGGATTTGTGGAAAACATGTACTCAGTTTGGTTCTTTTGGGGAAACAATCTTTATTTGTCTCCTAAATGAGTACTTTGATAATTTTACACCCCAAGAAGCACGGCTGCCAAATGCAAGTGATTTAACCGTTATCAAGATCATTACCCCACATACTGAACTGCCATCCACATTTGTAAGGATGTTGAGACTTGGCTATTAAATGTAGACTGTGTCTCTGTTGTGACCATAAACGTTAGCTTAGTTGTGCTGTCACCCATATTGACAAAGCACAAGTATGGATATGGCAATTAATAGTTTTTAGTTTTAGTTTAATTAATAGTCCGTCACCCAAGCTGTCTTCCTAAGTGATGTATTCACATCTGTTGAAGGCACAAACTTAACAGTCTTCCAGGTGAATAGCTGGTGAATGCTGCATCCAAAAATAACTTGTACCTTTGTCATGAGCTGAAGTAGCATAGTACATTTCAAGATGTCATTGACTATGACTATTCACCTGATTTTTTTCGGCTTAATTTTTAATAATTGCTAACCAGTTATTTTGTCTCACTAAATCAACAACTACTCTCTGTTGTCCTCTCTTAAGCGACCACCCTGTTTTTGTCCCTATCCAGTTTAGGATGTCATTTATTAACAGACCTTGAGTGGAAATTTCAAAGTGCAAACTGGTCAGTCCTCATTGCTGGCAGATAAGCCACTGTCCAAAATTCCACTTATGTATGTGAACAGTGCATTTAGTTGAAATAAGTCCAATGTTCCTTTTGTGGTGACAGATACATATATACCCAAGAAGATCTGACCAAAGTGGGGCATTTCTGTAGTTATGTGAATAGTTCCACAGTCTTAATATTGAATCCACTCCTGAGTTCACTTGATATCTGCCAACAATGAAGAACAATGATTGAAGAATTTTGATTTTACACACTTGAATTGAACTTGTGTGAGCTATTCTATGATACACAGACGCAGATAACTACCCAAAATGTCACCAAAATCTATCATTCCCATCAAGATATTGGAGAATACAAAAACATCTGCCAATAGGCTTCATTCATTTTTCTGGAGTGACAATGGTGATCTTGGTCTTCTGTCTCAGTTGATAGTGATGATTGTGATCTATTCATCAGTTACATTGCAAAATCTGGTGACTCCATGTTTCCAAAACAGTCTAGGGTTCCAAGGATTTGTGGTTTTATATTAACAGATCATCTTCTTCTATTAATTGCTTTTTAAAATAAATGTTTAAAATATTTTAATGTGAATATATTGGATAATCTTTCGTAGAAGCTCTGAACTGTATTTTTTTGTTTTTTCCTTTCATGAAGATTTAATTACCTCAAATTATTAGATTTTGTTTCCAGTGGAATTTAATTTGATTTGTGAAGGAATTAGGAAAATAGGTAACTCAGCTACTCTGCTGCCTACTGAAAGTAAAGTTATGTCTCAAGTTTTTAAATCTAAGTAACTTAAAATATGTGTGTGTGCATGAATATATATGCATATATATATATGTATTATAGGTGGGGCTGCCTCTTAAGATTGCCCGACACTTTCCTTTATAAGAGCCTGTTTTCCTTTTCTTATAACTTTGCCATTTTTAACATTTGGGCTGAAGTTCTCCATGCTGGCTATCTGTCTCTGGCTGAATTGTTTTGGAAATTTTCAGCCAGGATGGTTCAGTCAGTTACGAGAATGGGGCTAAGGAAAGATAAATTATTTTAAATTAAAAAAATCTGGAGACCTTTTCTTTGAGAAACTCTGGCACACCCATACTGTGTAGAAGGAGCTTGAAATTTGGTAGGGGAATGGCCTTATGAGAGAGATGCCTTTTCTGTTTCTGGGTGAAAATCCATGCAAATTTGACAAAGTTATAAGCCTTTGAAACACTGCAGTTCACACAGGTCTAGTAGAGACTTCTTAAAGTTTAGCAGCTAAAATCTCCTAAAATTCTATCTTCACTGAGTATGTTCCATCCCCTTTAGGTCCTAGTGCTGACCAGACTGCACATGCGCCATACCCACAGAATGACTAAGAATGCTCCATCCCTTCGTAGCTCCTATTTGTGACTGACTGAGCATACACTGTCTTCACAGAGTAACTGAGCATGCTCCATCCCCTCACAACTTTTAGTGTTGACCAGACTGTGTGTACATCATCCCTACAGGCAACCCTAATTCTGGCATTTCCTAACTTTGGAGTATTTAACTTTGCAACCTTATAATGTTATTTTAATGTAGTTTTTGTGTGTAATATATAATACACACGCACAAAATCTGAAAAGTTGGGGATCTGGATATGTCACAATATTAATGTTTTAAATGAACAGGTGCTGCTCATATGGTAGAAGCAGATATTCTTCTTTGTGGTGAGGAAGAAGGAAATGGTGAACCAATCATGGCTCATCCTCCTGAAACAAACAGTGACAACACATTGCAGGCGTGGCTAAATGAGATTGTGAACACTAAAAAAGGCATCAAGCTGGATTTTAAGAGGTATGTAAAAGTGTAGCGGGGTGAACACCCGCTCCAGCCCTGAAAGGGTTGGAAAAGCCCTGCAGAGGGCTGGGGCTGCGAAAGGGAGCAAACCCCTGGCTGATTGGGGAAGTGGCTGCAGCGGGGGCCACGCCCCAAACTAAGGAACTAGGCCTTATAAGAAGGCCTGGGAAGCCAGAAGCAGCAGTCTCTCTCTGACTGGAGAGGGAGACAGGCCTGGCTGCTGGGGATCTCACCCAGGGGACCTAGAGTGAGGCAGGGCTGGGGAAAGGCCTTAGGAGCTGGGAAGCCCTAGGCCAGCAACTCCCCAGGCTGCAGGGCCTAGTCCTAGGCCTACCTAGGTATTGGGCTTGCAGAGGGGCAGCTGGAGAGTGGGTAAGGGCAGCCAGTCCAAACCCCGTGTTGCCTATGATGATCAGCTGATAGACTGCAGTCTGCCCCAGGGCGCGGGGGCTAAATGGAGACTGGCAGTAGCCATGACTGAGGCGACGTGGGGATAGGGAGTGGGGGTTCCCCTCGGCGGGGGGGGGGAACCCAGTAAGACCGTGGGGTACTGCAGGAGGCAGAACCCTGGGATAAGAACACCAGGGTCCTGGGAGGGACACGGGGGCTAGAGGACAGGCGGATCACCAGCCTGCAGGGGGCGCTCTGGATGCTGGAAGAGCTAATTCCTGGAAGTAACCAGCAGGAGGTGCCGCAGGGGTGAGTCCGCTCCTCTACAAAAAGATTCACAAGGACTCTGCATTATTATTATTTATTAATAGTTACCACCAACTGGTTGTGTGTTGGTGCTGCCCATTGTAGGGCAAACTTCTGTTTACAGAACTTTTATTAACAATACATTTTACTGTAATGTATGCATTACTGAATGGTGAAATACAATCAAACATAATAATTGGTAATGAAATACAGTACCATCAGAAATGATTAATCCCAAACAGTACCAAAACTCTGTTGTTTTTTATTTGTGGGTGTGTGTGGTTTCTTCTGATGAATGTGTGCACCAGAGAAGTATTTTTCAAACACAACTTATTTTTATTAAGGGATGCAGTGAAGCTGTTGGTCCCAAGGCTTTAAAATATTGTAGACTACCAATAATATTGCATATGCAATAAACAGTTACTGTATTTTAAAATATTGTATAGTAATTATTGCATATGGCAGAGCTGGTAGCATCACCAGTAAGTAAGGTTGCCTAGCACTTTCCATTATAATACCTCATTTTCAGTTGCTTATAACTTTGCCAAACTTTAACTGTTCAGACTGAAAATTTTAATGCCGGTAATCTAGCTTAGGCTACTGTTTTTGTTTGTTTTTGTTTTGAGAACAAATTAACTGTTTTGGAGAATGAGATTAGGGAAAAAGAAGTTGTTAAATAATTCTTACAACCTTTTCCTCAAGAAGTCCTCATGCCTGTATGCTTTGGAGCACAGATTTGCAATTTAACAGTGGGTTGCTTTTATGTGAAGGATGTGTCTTTTGCTGTTCCTGTGAAAATCCACTCAAATTTGATTAAGTTGTAAGCTTCTGGAAATTGCAGTTTGCACATGCTTAGTGAAGATTCGTTAGAGACTGTTAACATTCTTCAAAGATTCCGTCTGTAGTGAGCATGCTTCAACCTAGGGATGCAGGTGCAGGATTTTCCCTGCAATTTACCCTTCTGGCTACTAGGGGCCGCTGTTGCATCAGGCACTGGAGCTGAGATCAGAGAGACTTTCGCCCTAGGGCTCTCAAAGCGGACTCAACCCCACTGGCATTCAGGCAGCATGGAGGTGAAGAGGTAACTAGCCTGGTACAAATACAGATTGGTAAAGCCCCATGTTTTTCACAAATGCAAAGCACAGAAACCAACATAAAATGAAAAACTGACCACACAGCAGCAGCTCCTGTCCTGCGGGGCTGGGGCCAGTTCCCTGCTCTGGGCATTGCAACCCAGTCCACGGTCACAGTGCTGCTACTCATTCAAATTTGGCCTGGTCACCCTTCCAGAGGGCCACTCATCGAGCGGTAGGACACGACTCCCCACCTCAGGACCTCCCACCCCACTGGAGGAGAGGGGCTAGATGGGGTGTTGGGGTTCAGTGTGGGAGGGAGAATATATAAGGGGGGTTAGGGGAGGGGCTACTGGGATTGATGGGGGGGGAGCTGGGATGCTGGGTCTCAATACGGGAGGGGGAATATTTGAGGAGGGTAGGGAAGGGTTTTCTGGGGCTAATGGGGATTTTTGGGGGGTGATATTTAATAGGAGAGGGGTGTATATAAGGAGGGATGGAGGCACTTGCAGAAGGTCCATGGGGATAGGAGCAGAAGAGTGCAGGAGTCATGGTGGTGTATAGGAGCTGAGAGGGTAGGGCACAAAAGTCGGGGTGGTGGGGTGGATAGACAGAGTGGGGGGGGGGATTTGGGGGCTGGAGAGATTGGTTACGAACAGAGACACACAGAGGCTGGGTAGAAGGATAAATAACCACTAGAAACAGTCCATTTCAGAATCTGGAATCTACCTCAGGATTTCCGAGTTTCTACATTTTTCTGCTGTCAGCAAATAGCTGTGAAACCCACTGACAAAGTGTTTGTCTTATCCCTGTGTAGTGAATAGTCCACATAGCAATGGTGGGCTTTTATCCTCTTCAGTTACTGTATTAGCTCAAGAGGTAGAGGTATTGTGTATTCCTCATTTTCTCGGTGCCCATTTTCAGAGATATGGTACTGGATTTTCAGAAGTACTGAGGGTGGAAAACTGAAAAATATTTTTCAATTATAAATTGTTATAAATATCTCTTTGAGTGCTTGTTCTTGTCAATTCCAGTCAGATGTGCGCGTGCCGCGTGCATGACAGACAGAAGATTTTCCCCTACCAGTATTAATAGGGTAGGCCTGGGCGCTCCCTGGAGTCGCGCCTTCATGGCGCTCAATATAGGGCCCTACCAACCCGCCACCCCCTCAGTTCCTTCTTACCGCCTGTGACGGCTAGCTGGAACTCCCCATTTAGATTGACCAGACAACAAGTGTGAAAAATCGGGACAGGGGGTGGGGGGTAATAGGCGCCTATAGGAGAAAAAGCCCCAAATATCGAGACTGTCCATATAAAATAGGGACATCTGGTCACCCTATCCCCATTGCTCTTGCCTTGGCAAGCGCGTGTTCTTCACAGTGTCCTTTTTAGTGTATAGAGTAGTAGTATAGTTAGTGTAAATAGCTTCATAAGTTTCCTTTAGGGAGCTTCCTCCCCCCCACCATCCCCCAATGTTCCCCTGGCACTGGGACATGCCTCGGTCCCCGGGCTTTAAGGCGTGTACAGACTGTGGCAGGTCTATGCCCAGAAGTGACCCACACACTTAGTGCTTGAAGTGTCTCAGTGGGGGTCATTTAGAGAACATTGTAAGATCTGCAGAGGGTTCCACCCTAGGATCCTAAAGGACAGAGATCAGCGCCTCCGTATTTTACTTATGGAGGCAGCACTTCAGCCTCAGTCAGAACCCGGCGTGGGGGAGCCAGCCCCAAGCATCACTTCCTCCGTGCGCAGTGCACTGACACTCTCAGTGTGAGAGCCGGTGCCAAGGAAGGACTCCTCTAGAGACCCTAGGCACCGCCACGGCTCCGTGCACAGAACCCAGATCTCTGTGAGGCACCACTCTCAATCCCTGGTGCCTCACAAAAAGAAGAGGTCAGACAGAGGCCATTCCTCAACCAGGTCTAAGGACCAGGTGGTCAGTAAGCCTCCATCCGGTGCCCAACCACCACGGGTCACGTCAACTCCTGCCCCAGCAGGGGTCCAGTCGAATCCAGACCCTCATCGCTTGCTGGCCCTCCACCAAGAAGACCCGCAGCTCCCCTCCATGCCGGAGGCGTTCGAGGCTGCATCAGACCTTCTGGCACTTACAGCGGGAGAGGTCGCCGTCACCGGTTCGGGTCCCAGTGCAATCCATGGGCAAGCTGGTGATGATGGCGATGCGCGCACCATCCTCAGTGCATCACCCCCTGGCACTGGCCGCCCTCGTGGAGGAGCTGCTCCGGTCCCCCAGTTTGCAGCACCCATCACTGGCACCAATGGGCTCTGCTCCTCCGTGGTCATCCCAGTCGGAGACCTCGGAGTCGGAAGCATAGTCGTCATGCTTCAGTAGGAGCAGTAGGTTCCGCTCCCGCCAAGACCGCCACCCCTATCCGGCACCATGGCTGGGCCAGTGGCAAGCTCCTCAGTGGCCATTCTGGACGCCCTGGGCCTATCATCAAAGCCAAGGGCGGAGCCACGGTTTCAGATCAGCATCGGTGGTCTTGGGGTCCTTCAGGCCGCCAGCCACACCTTTGGCACTGGAGATTTTGACGGTGACCCAGCTGACCTGCATACCAGCATCGATGGCTGCAGTGCCAACTGAGGCACCAACTGTGGCGCCAGAGGTCCTTGCTCTTCGGGACCCCAGAGGGGCCGAGGGCAGAGAACAGGCTCCTGTGCCGGTCAGCCTCTCACCTTCCTCCTCGCCTGATGAGACGGTGACCAGCACAACAACTGCCCCAGCCCTGGAGGACAGCAGGGTCTTACAGCAGCTGTTGAGACGGGTGGCTCAGAACCTCGATATTAAAACAGAGGAGGTAGTGGGGGAGACTGACCCGATGGTCAATATCCTTTCCCCTCCTGGGCCATCCCATATTGTGCTGCTGATGATCAAAACCATTAGCGAAGCTACTAACATACTGTGGTATACTCCGTCCTCATTGCCGCTCACCGCGAAAAGGTCTGAGTGGAGATATTTTGTCCCCTCAAGGAGGTACGAACCCCTGTGTACGCACCCCCCACGGACTCCCTGGTAGTGGACATGGCCAACCAGCATGAGCGCCAGTGCTACCAGGGGTCCTCCCCAAAAAGTCGAGAGGCCAAAAAGTTGGACCTTTTTGGGAGAAAGGTTTACTCGACAGGGGGGTTGCAGCTCTGCATCGCTAACCATCAGGTGGTGGTCAGCAGATATAACTTTAATACATGTGGAGCCTTGACAAAGTTTACTGAA